AAGTAAGTTATGTTTGAATTACCATAAAAATTCAATTTATACCACCCTATGTGGATTTTATTAAGGATAATAAATTTTAAAACTTAAAAAAATGTTTTTATGCTTATAAACTTCACTGAACTTTATGTTTGTCTGGAACTTTTGTAGTACAAATGAATACGTGTCAGCCTTTTCATATTTAATCCTGTAGTTGTTTGTCAATGTATTAGTTTGTCACATTCATTTCATCTTCATTTGAAATTTTGTAGAACATTTTGGGTCCTACAAATCTGATCTTTTAGCAGCAAACAATTGCCAACAACTATCATCACAAACCGAACTCAACTTTATTGTAACATTTTTAATCAAATTAATGTCCGTAAAAACAGTAGATTTTCAAGATATATCACTATACAAAGCTTTTAAAACATATTTCATTGACTATAGACATGAATTGCATATTTCTGTAAACAATGACATTTTTTTATATATTTTATAATAGTCTCATCTATATATACATACAGAACAGAGATAAAATTACAATAAAAAAAAATAAAGCCATATGAGAAAATGTTCTTTTTTCTTTTTTTTCTCATTTTTACAAAACTAAAATATGTTTCCACTCTTGCTTTAAATAAACCGTAATTTTCCAGTTCATTTGTAAATATTTGTATGCGATACAAATCCTTTATGTTATTTTTCTTTCTTTTTTTAGGTTTTTACTTGAATTTCTGCCAGACTAGTAAGGCATTAATTTTAACTGCGTAATAATATAACTAAAATATATCGGATGAATTTTAAAGAGTAAAATTGAGGAAAATTTGTCAAAAACAATTATTCTCTAATATTAACATAATGCACTTCTAAAATTATTAATTTTGTTATGTACCTAAGTGATCGCGTATCAATAAATTTTAAGGTGTGGTTTTGATGCTATAGATTATTGTTACACTTAAACATTTAATCTGTTGTGTTCGTTTTATGGTCATACAGATCGTTTTAAAAGCGATGTTTTCCTTGTTCCTTGATTATATCTCATGTTTATGTATGTTGAAATAAAGAAAAAATGAAACAAAACATGTTGTATTAGAATAGAGATATCTGGCTATGTTTTGTTTATCTAATGGTAAATACGTTTTAAAGCAATATTTTCCTTGATTATATCTCATGTCATACTCGGTAACCCAGGCATTTACAGTAATGTAATATATTCGGAATGTGTATCGTGGCTTTCGACGATGATCTCATGTCTAGGTATATTGAAAAAGAAAAAAAAAGTTAACCATCTAGATTACAAAAGAGGTATCTGGCTATATTTTGTTTTCCTAATGGTAAATAACTTTTTTTTTAATTATTTTAAAAAAGCAAGTCTACACGTCAGACTTCATGCCAATAGGACACTTTGGCCCAAGGGGATGTAATCGGCGTATACTCAAAATAAGCCAAGGTACGCCCCTGCATGTTTCTCTTAATTCATAACTATGTGATGCTTCATTAATGTTCCAACCTCTAATGTTCCAAAAGCCGCATGTTAACTCCTACTGTTTACTACCATCTCCTCGTGCTTGTTTTCAGTCATTGCCATTAGTTTGTCTATTTGAGTTTGATGTCTTTTATCTGAATACCTAAAAAAATTTGTCTTGTTCACTGTTCTGACGATTTTTATAGCTTCCTCTTTGTCTTCACTAGACGTTTCATATACATAACGTAATACAATATTTAGCGATTTGTCAATGTAACCTGTTCCCTGCTGATCCGTAAGTGTATTCTGGATATCCCCTATGGACTGTTTGTTGTCTTCAATTGAGCGGTTTACTTCAAAATGAATATATTTTGTACTGTCTTCAACATACTTTTAAATTTTGTTATTTCTTTGTGAAACCGCTAGGCAAATACTTTTAACCACTTCTTCTCGGAGTTAGTTTAGCAAGATCTGATTAAATGTCACTGGAATAGCTGATGATTAGGGTATATCGAATTATTAACAAAATGCAAGCTAAAGACTTCGGCCAAAATATAATTAATGATAATGGAACTTAAAACCTTTACCCAAATTAAGTCTCAATTTCATATAGGACAAGTAACCAGGCTTGTATACATGTATTTAACAGTTATAGACAACATAATATTGACATTATCAGTAATAAAACACAAAAAAACAGCCCTCCCAAAATTCTAGCGGCGGAAAACGCAATAACGAACATCAATCAAAGTGCTGCAGCACTGAATGCGACGGACATGCAACCGGAGAGACATTAAGGCTTCTTTTAGAAAAAAAACAAAAACAAAACACAAAATATATAACAGAAAAAATTTGTTCCATACAAGTTCGAGATTTGTAGAGCAATATATTTTGTGTCCCAAACTGATATAATTCAGATTTTCTTCTTTCAAGCACTTAAATACAGAATGAAATTTATGCCTAAAAACTCTGGTCAAACTTGTAAATCAGTGTCCTTATCGATTTATTCTAAGAAATGATATGTAAATAGAAAAAAAAACTGTCAACGAAATATTTCTAGAATAAATCCAGGCAAATAAACTTCAAACATAATACATTATACATTTGAGAATTCTATTTAGAATTGCTTCGTGTTATATCATAGTGGGCATATAGACAATAAAATATAAGTCATTTGTATTTTTATTTCTCTTGGATATGTCTCATTAAAAAAAAATTTGGTTAAAATCATGATAGCAATTAATAGTGTATTTTTTAGATTTTTTTTTATTTACAAGGTAAAGATGTAGAGGCCAGAGCACATCGTTTTTATTTTAATTCAAATGTCACTTAAACCTGCAACTTGACTATTTAAGCCACTAGATGGCGCTGGGGCAGATTTTCATGGTATTTTTGACATGCTTCACATCTAACAGCTCTTTTTTGAAATAGTAAAATAACCAAGAAGTATTTTGCCTAAAAACTTTTTGTATAACTTCTTTGCAACATTTGAAATAAAATGGCAGAGAAAATATCACAAAAGATTCACTTAAATGTACTTTGTGGAAAAAAATCAGTTAACTGTCAAAAATTTGAAAATCCCGGGGCGGAGTAAATGGGGTCATGAACTACAGGTTGTAAACAAATACACGTGGCAGTGTTAACTTTCCAGTAGAAACTTGAAATATTACTCTAGGAAGGGAGCTGCTGATCAGTAATAACAAATGTTATCGTCTGCTATAGTGTTTGTTTACATCAGCTAAATTTAGCACAGGTACAGCGTCCTTTGCATGATTTATCAGATAAACACGCCTACAAAATTCTCCCTACCAGGGCAGGGATATTTGCGGCTTTAAGCACTACAGTGTTTAGTTGTCCTTTTCAATTTCACACTAAATTCCATTTTCAACTTGTTTGCTTCCTACAATTGTATAGAATTTCTAAAAGTATTGCATGTAATCCGCTGGTTTATTAATTACATGTGTAATGTGTACTTCCTAATCGCCTGTCCAAAAATCAGAACAGGTGAAGCAGAATCTATTTTTAGAATAGCGAAGGTTAACTCATATCATGACCTAGAAAAATATGTAAACAAACCACAAGAATCAGAAGTAGAACTGATATTATAACTTCCTTACCATGAAAGACTACATGGCGGTAAAGTGTTGTAAAACTCTCTTCTTACATGCATTTTCAAAAATAGATATTTATACTAACCATTGTACTGTATCTAATATATTAATAACTGCTGAATATTCAGCTAAACCCGCGCTATGAGTCACGAAAATAGTTCTTCTTTTATTAATGCGCGAGTTATCCTAGAGTCACGAAAAACTTTTGATTTGTTAATAATAATGTTTTGTATAATGTAGAAATATTTATTTCCTACTAATAATGTCTTGGAACTCAGAGGTTACGCCTTCATTGTAGTATAATTTGCTGTCCTACTTTTTCGATAGCGGTAAATCGTTTCAGCAGTAATTTGCACATTGCGCAATAATACTACGGGACTACAACATTTTTATCAATAATATACGTTCATATTTTAACTTGGATAACTTAATTTGAAATTGAAAAGGCTAAATATGGAAGACATTAAGATATCCAGACAAAGTATGGGAGTTTTGAAGGATCAAATTCATGTACTATTTCTTGGGCTGTTAATTGGTTTAGGACACATTGCGCGATTGTAACCAACGAAATCCCATGTGTAGATGACTTAGCTCTGAACGCGCCTGAGGGCGCGTCCGTCGCAAAAAGGGTATAATCGCAAAATGTAGTTATGAAACCATAGACTCATGAATGTAGTTTCAGCACACAGAGAAGAAATACAAGAAATCATTGAGAAGGATACGCATCCTTTCCAATTTGATGATAACAGAAGTTATCTGTAATTATGTTTTTACTTTTTTTGAAAGACAAACTTTACGTGTTCTTAAAACAGAAGAAAAATCAAAAACATGCATTTTGGATTAATCAAATTGTATGTAACATCCAATATTTATTTGCAAATGCAAGTGCAAACAAAGACAAAGGTAGTAAAGGAAAGGTACATGGTCAAGGAAAGGCGCGTGGGCAAGCGTATTTGGCCGCCTGAAAAAGGAATTACTAGAGTGACAGTTATAAAAGCTGTAATGTTTTCAAACGATGTTTCAGATTGCATTTTTTCTGGTCCTCATAGGATATGTATATTCCAATTTCTTCAACTTTGAACAAATGGTACAAACGTCATGATGCATTGTCATGTAAATCACATATCCCTTGAAACTGTATTTTTTATATTTTGTGCGATTTTAAATGTGATATTGTGAGGACCGGTAAAATATGTATAACGTTACCAGAGACAATGTGAACCTTTATCTGCCTTGATTGATAATAAAAATACCATCAGTATTAAACGATAGCCATAAGTATCCGTTTTGGGAATGTAAAATCAAAGAAACACGACAAGTATGTCTATAGTAGTTTAATACGGTATTACAGTATCTTAAAAAACAATGTATAGAAATCATAACATTCTTGGTTTATGGTACTACTTATAGTCATAATTATCGCTGTTTCGTTAATTTTTATTCAAACTAAAGGTATGAACTCATACCTGAATTACAGTTTATAGTGAAGCAAGAGGAAAATCAAAAAAATATATATTTTCACATTAACTAACACAGTACGGCAAACATTTTATCATAATACACTACTGTAGGATAAATAAAAAGCTTACATGTCATTGTATCACTTACATATATATTTATTTTACAATTTCATATGCATTTCCGCTTTCTTTCTTTAAACTTTTTGCCCGTCACATGTACAAAATGCAAAACACATTCTTACACGAAAACTTAATAATCCGAACTTTCTTCTTGTCCGGAAGAGTTCGGATCCATGTGGTTCCACTGTATATTTTAAAAGCATAATTTATGATATCTAACTTTAGCAAGTTTACACACACTTCAAAACATAACATTATCTATACATGTACATTGATTTTTCTAAAATATGGTTGACATGGAGTTAGGAAGGGTAGAGGAAGTTTTAGTAAAAGGTAGATATATTTACATAATGTTTATGTTTTGTTTAAATGCTGATATTTGTTCAGAGCATAGTTAAATCATTTAGCTTAATATGATTTAGTACAGTGTTATAATTGGTATATTTAGCAATAAAACAACACGAAAAAGAAAATAAAATTAACTTTTGTGATAACAATTTTAGTGCTAATATACTGTTGTAATCTACAACTTTATACCGATTTTCTAAATAAAATATATTTATATTTTTAAAACTATCCAGTAAGAATTTATCAAAAGATATTTTTGTCCATGTAGGATTTAGCAAATTTACTGGATAGAAACGACACAAAGGCAGTCTTCAATGGAAGATAAAGATTTAAATGATAGAATGTACAGAACACTTGTTGATGTTGTTGGCACAGAAGACGATATTCGTTGTAGACAAGATATGTTCACATACATGGGAGTGGTAAATGGATTTGGAGACAATGATTCAGTTTCCATACCAGGCGGCAGCCTTTCAGAAGGTTTTGACTTAAAAGGTAGTGATGAGGACATTATGCTTGTTCTGAAGAATATTGACGTAGTTCCTGCTGATCAGGATGTAATGATTGATAAAAACACCGTAAAAGTCAACATGCAAGCCGATAAACAACGTGCCGGATATGCAAGCTTAGATTTATCAGTGGATCAAGAAAGATATGTTAATGATGCAGACAATTTGAAAAGAACAGAGGTGCTTTACATAAAACGGTCGCTTCAGAAATCCAATAATCATTGTATAGTAGCAAGTGCAAGATTTAGGGGCCAATTCATTACACCTGGGAAGACTAGCCATGGGCCATGTATTAGCGATGGAATGTTTGATTTTGCAATCAGTTTATATGGGTCTGTATGGCCCAGTAAAGCAATAAAAAGACTAACTACAAGCAAACGTAAACGTTGGCTTACTGAAATTTTTGTGAACGAACTCATATCAGAAGGTTGCATTTACGTGCCAGTTGGACCAAGACATTATTATTCTGGTACATTGTGGAGAATATCTTTTGCAAAAGCCGAAAGACGCCTAATCTTATCTATGCGTCACGTGCAGTGGTTATGTTATGGTCTTCTTAAGATAGTGTTTAAGGAAGGTATTGGAAAAGCTCTGACGGAGAATGACATACTATGTTCATACTTTCTTAAGACATGTCTCTTCTGGTTGATTGAAGAAACAGATAATGATGAGAATGTTTGGAATCAAGGCAACATTTTCAATTGTTACATGATGTGTCTTGATAGACTCATCAAATGGGTTGAGGTGATGAACTGTCCGAACTTTATCATACCTGAAAACAATATGTTCCGAGGAAAAGTTAATGATGAAAACAAATCAGACATATTAAAAGTTCTTCTTCAGATGAAAACTTCTGGATATCAAGGGCTACTTACATGTGAATCACTTCGTCAATACATGGAAACTTCTACACGAATAACACCTTTCGAACGTGAAGCTAAACTGGATCTTCTTTGCTTCAGAGTATTACACATTTATCCGTTCGACGACAAGAATTTGCTACAAGGAGCACTGGAAAGAATGGAAAAAGAATATGAAAAACAAGAGAAGCTGTTTACAAAAGGAATAATTGGAAATATTGTTTCCACTCTTCACCAAGAACTAGCTCAAATGATAGACGTATCTAAAAGTAATGAAGACGGACAAAAATTGAAACCCCTACAGAAATATCATTTACTGAAAGGTTGCAAATCTGATCGACTCCGTGGCCTTATTCTTCTAGCATCTTTTTATTGCACCGACATGAAATATTATACTGCTCTTGAAATACTTAAAACAGTCACAAGAAAATTAACACCTGAAGCCGGATTGCTTCTTCGACGAAAGCCAGATTATACGCAAGCTGAAATACAGGAGTATAAAGAAAGATTCTGTGGTAAAGTTTTATGTTTAGATGAGAAATTTAATATTGCAACCATAAGAAAAGTAGTACTTTTAGATAATTCATCCATTGTTCCGGATGAATTTCAGCCTAAAGTTTTCAATTACCGGCCGTTGAATATGATGTCGCCAACAATCTATGCATATGCATTAATGTTTGTATGTTACCATCATACCAATGAAGAATCAAAGGCATTAGAGATGTTAGCACATCTTGAACACATCATAAAAACTAAGTTTCTTATTTCACCACTTGGCGAAACATTCTCTACTGATTGTACAGTTGTCGGAGTATGTTTTGAAACGCAAGGCCATTACGAGACAGCTATGAAATACTACAACAAAGCTTTAAACTGTGAGCAGATATGTAGAAGTACTGCATACCGCTTTCGTCGTCTTGAAAAAAAGATTTGGAATGGCACGGTAGTGTCACATTGAAGGTTCCATGATAACCGCCGTATGAACACATCTGCGGATGTTTCTAAATTCAAAATTCTACCATTTCATGTTTAAATGTTGAATTCTGCTTAAGCCGGTGCTAGGGGGCGTGGACGGTAACTTGCACTTTCCAGTACCGTCCATGAACAGGCTCAATCAAACCGAGCCTGCAACATTTTCAATTTTGCCGTGTTGGGCTTTCTTTAGGGATTCTTTATTTATCTATTTTTTGCTATAAGTTCAGTTGAAATATAGATATAAAATTTGTAATAAACAATTATCGATATGATCGTTCTTGATAAAAGTGAGATGAATTTACTTGCTAAGATAAGCATTTAGTCAAAACAGGTATCACACACGTACTTAAGGTGAGTCCCTTTCAACGTCTGTTTTGAGATGTGAAAGGCATTGTCTATTAAGTACAATTCAAACTAGAAACAAAACAATAGAGAAAATTATAAAAAAAATTAAATTAAAAGATATAATTGACATTACCTACTTACATTATAATTTACGTGATACTCGTACATGTATAGGCATTGGTATTGGTGATACATTTTCTATAGAAATGTAATACTTGTTTTTCTTAGTATCATTATTACAGTTGTAATCTGTTCCAGGTCCTGCTTTAGTCCAAAGTAGGTACTGAAAGCTTATTTATTACCCTTAGTAGATAAGTGATCGTAAATACTTTTGAAGGCAACCGAGGAGTGTCCTGTACGTGTCCATGATTCAATGAACAAGACTTAGTTCCTTGCATATGCATTTCATGGCTTTAATATTATAATTCGTCTACTTTTTTGTGTTTTTCTTTTTCATCAAACCCAAACTGATAGAATTGGACTGAGGGGTCAGTTCCTCTCTAACCATTTTTGCATCCGTATGTGCAAGGTAAACTCCATTACAATGTATTATACATGTATATATGGTAATGTTTGCATTGAACTACATTTTATAGAAAATTAGTTGATTATTCTGTATGAGTTTTTGCAAGCTTTTTAGGAAAAAATAATAGTTTTTGTTTTTTTTCTAGTATATAATAAATTGTTTACTTTGAATAATATAAATAATCTATGAATTGTTTAGAGCCACAGCGCCATTGATTGTCTTTAAAGCTTCATGTGACGAAATTCAAATCAAACGCAAGCCAGTACCTCAAGGTTACTGTGTTGTGTTTTAGTACATTTTGGAAGGTGATATATCGACTTTTTGATATCGTCTTTTCCTCATTCATGGACATATTTGTTTCAACCGAGCACGAAAGAATAAAACAACCCACAACACTTCCACTGACCAGAACTGTAGCTCAGCTTGGCATGGTCACTATGTGAGGGAGGGGAGGGTCAGAATTTAGAACTGGTATAACAAAAATATTTTTGATTAACTTCACTCAGACCAATTTCAACCTAAGGAAATGGTTCTTTAAGAAATATATAAAATGTTTTGATAAATAATCTGCATACCAATATTTCCAATACGTGGATCCCTCTGTATCCAGCTGTGAGATTTTTCAAAGAATACAATACATTCTTGAGATAGGCAGGTGAGGTTTTCTTGAGGCCTTAAGTAAAATTGCTGTTGTTCCAACGACTGACCTACCTATTAGTTGGAGCCTTTTCAGTTATATACAATGTACTATCAACAGTTGGAAACTGATTATAAAAGACATGTAAATCGATATTAGCTGTAAAGTGAATTATGATTTTAATGGCATATACGAGTACTGAAGCAGAACCACTGACGTTCATTTGAGAGATTGTAATTAGACTCAGCATTCAGTGACATTATCTTAACCATTTACCAATAGTTTTAAACGTTTTATCCACCTCAGTGAAAAGCGACATAGCTTCTATAAGAGATCGTCTATTTACTTGGCGGTATTCAATTCCGCATCAAAGATCAACAAAGACGGAACGAAGCCCTTGTAATATCCACTCCCATAGAAACACTGAAAGGGCATCCAATTCGGCCTAAAACTAGATTTGGATTTTTAATTCTAACTGCAAAGACATGCTTCTTTTAAATGAGTGTCCTCTGCTGTTAATAAATCTTAACCAAACAATATCCCGGCTTATAATAGCAATCACTAGGTTAACTTAATTAGAATGCAAATTTCTAAGGGTGGTCACAAATACAGTATTTCTTTAATGATATTTTCTATATAAAACCAAGTGCTGTTTATCATGTTAACATATATTTTTTGACATTATAAGCTTTCTTTGCTGCTCTAGACGTTGTCTCGCTTGTGTAGTGTGTAAATACTAAGAGCGATTGACAAAATATTAATAACAAGAATAACATTGTGGGCAGCATAAAGTCGGTTCAGAATAATCAGGAAAGTCTGATATAAAAAATCTCATAAATTGAATTGAAATTGTACAAATTCAAAGCACACATAGTTTTACAATAAGTGATTTAAGGACTGTACATTTTAGTGAACTGAATTTTGATTATGATTGAGAGGAAAATCGGTCATTGCTTTTCCTTACATGACAAACTAGAATTGCTATAATTTCTATTTGCAGATAGCTTGTCAGAATGATTCTGTTTATATTTAAAATATGTTTTATTAAAACCGCAAAATTTAACTATAATTGCGTAGAATAATCTAAATCACCGCTACAATGCTGCTTTCTTACGTACTGGATACAGATTCTTTTTCTTTGTATGTTTAACCTTGTATGATACGATTTTGTCAAACAAATGATAAATTATTTTACAACAAAGTTTTAAAAGCACTGAATATTTTCTTTACGAATAACAAAAATGCCTACCAGTTTCCTTGTTAACTCTGTGATCTCAATACCAGATGACTACGTAGTTCAAAACCATTCTGTGCGCTTCAGAAAGCCGACTAATAAATCGGTCGTAAATCTACAAAATATCTTGCAAAATCAAAGGAGGAGAAGAAGAAGTAATTTTATTCTTTCATAAATATCACAATTCACAATTGACAAATCCATTATAGCTCATAGTCACATTTTTGGTACATACACTTATGACTTAATATCGGCATAAGTCAACAATAAATTTGTTAATATAGTTAATGTATATGCAAAAAACAGGATATACTACTCTTACAAGCTTTGAATGCATTTTATTCGTACTTACTTCCCTTGCATTTCAGAAATTGTCTAATGCTTAGAGTAGTAAAATCCTAAAAACTATGTCTGCTTTGAAAATCTGTTTTGTTCATAATTGAATCTTAAATGATTATTAAGATTGACATAAAATATAAACTAATTATAAACATTATTTTGCATCTTCATATTTTTGGTATTATTTGTATAAAACAGTTTCCTACCATGTCAATACATACATACATACATACATACATACATACATACATACATACATACGCACGCACGCACGCACGCACGCACGCACACACACACGTATTTTGAACAGCAATATTTATACGCCATTTGACGTCATATATACAACCAAGACTCCTTCGGGATCATTGATGCCAGCACTATTAAGTGTTGAGAATTGAGTACCGCTCAAGCCGGTGCTAGGGAGCATAAGGGATGTTGCACGTATTCATTATCCCTCATGTACAGACTCATTCAAACCGAGTCTTCAATTCTCTTGTAATTTTGCTGTTTTAATGCTTCCGAGGGATCACTTTTTACCAGATTTTTTTAATTAAAGACATGGTAAAATCAACAATTAAATGTGATACTATTCATGAAGTTTAACACATACTTATTATTTGTTTTGTATTTTTGTCAGCATTTTGTTGAAAATATGAATATGTTTATTTTTTTCTTTTTATACGCCGTAGTACAACCATGCGCAGTCAATAAAATTATTTAAGAATGTAACACAATATATGCTATCTAAATATCATATCTACATCTTCTTATCCTAAATGCATTATATACATATAATGATAAATTTCATATTACTTTAACATTTTCTGATGAAAACAATTCTGCTTGGTCGAGCTCTGTAGCTCTATTTATATATTTATCTCTAATTGCGTCATACAGGTTACATTAAAAAAGGAAATTCTTTTTACTTATTACAGGATATGCATCTCACAGTTCTTTTTCGCCGGTCACATTCTATATTTAATCGATGTGAGGATACTTTTAATCTACATAATGCTTTTCTGTAATTACTGACATTATATAAGTGTTTTAACGTATGGTTGAAAACCAAAACTAAATATAGATATATAAAAAATATCTCTAGTAATTGAGTGTCAATCCTACTTTGCCATATTTGACAAAAACATCCCTTATTTTTTGTTTAATATGAATACAAATATGAAAAACATCTCCTACTCCCTGTTCTAGCCAAACATGATAAAAGCCTAATCTCGATAAAATATTTTTAACACATGAAGCCCAATTTTTTAGGTTGACTTTCAATGTCATTTTACATCATTTTATATGTATAATTTATATTTTTATTTTCAGGACTGCTAGTTACTTTCAACAAATATGTTATAATGCACATAATTATAAGACTATATAGGTCCGTTCTTCCAAGATCGCCAAATATAAAATCATTTTGTGTGTGTGCTTACTTTTACACCTAATGTTCGTTCGTTTGCTAAACATTGTATGCACTCTTTCAATTTGGTTTGCTTGTAAAAAAACAACACCTTAGCACCATAGAACAGAACTGGCTTATTTAGTTTATCAAACAAGTCTAACACACGTAAGACAAATAAACATCCTAGACATACATTTTTTAACTTAAAAATTGCCTCGAATGCTTGTCCTGATAACGTGTTACAGGCTTTTTTTTTAAAGGAGCCACTTGAAGTAAAAACAATTGCTAGGTACGTATATTTATTAACGATTTCATAAGTATTTCCATCATAATAAAAAGCCAAGTTATTTGGTAAACTTTTCGATTTTTTTATCTTTATTAAAATCTGGAAACAAAGTGATCCCTCGGAAGCATTAATCACAACAAAATTACATGAAAATTGCAGACTAGGTTTGATTGAGTCTGTACATGAGGGATAATGAAAAAGTAAATATTATATTCCACATATATATAGTAATTTTCAGCCCATAAAGTAAGTCGTTTGTTAATATTACTTGTCTGCATGAAAAAATCTATCATCTGGGTTATTATTTGCTTTAAAATATTCAGTAAAAGAATCAAGTGAAATTCCTTTCAGACCTTTCTTATAACTACATTCTTTCAACATTTTACAATATAAATGTGATCGTGAGCGGACCGTTTGATGATACACTTTCTACTACTCTAGCCATTTCATATTTGAAATCGTTTTACATGCAGTCTCATGTTAACGTGAGTGACAGTATGTTTAAATAGCTGTCGACTTGAAAAAATATTTCCTAGTCATTGTGTCCCATACCGTGTCAATCGAAGGCTGTAGTAACCTATCATGAAATCCAAACGAAACCACTTTGTCAGACAGTGAACGTGAATTAAAAAAAACTCGAAACTGCATGGGTTTTTTTTTTCGTTTTTTTTTTCTTCAAATATTGAAATGTACTAGTGCTTTGTTAGCCATCGGTTTACTGTATATATTCAATATCATTTCTCCACAAAATTTGGACGATTTAAAATCATCAGAATTACTTTGAAACGATTTAGACGTAATATGCATTATAAGCAAAATCAAACGATTTTAATTACAAAATATAGGTGTGATTGAACTTTGCGAGCAAAGCTAATTATGTACTTTCATTTCAATTGTACATTTTTCCCAGAATCATACATGTACGAGTATATTGCAACGAAATTAAATTATGTCATTTGGCTTCTCACATATGATAGTTATACTCCTTATAGAATTTCGAAATAAAGTTGTGTTGTCAGGGCATTGTTGATACACATGTCTCAATAATTGTCATTTCATTATTAAACACTGGTAATAGTTTTAACTTACCTATTATCATCACTATTATTGAGTTATCATAATCCTAATTAAAATTAAATATGATCTCATGTATAATTATTATCATCATTTTGATTATCTTACATTTAAAAATAATTATCATTATTAATAATCTATAATTATTTTAACGTTAGTAAATATCATGATAATTAGATAATTAGACCACTGTTTGAAATAATAATGTCATCCTGTATTTAACATTATCATTGTATATCTATAAACAAATTTCCCCTACCTAATGAATAAGGTAAATTTATGTTTCATCGTTTTTAAAGATAACGTGTAAAAATGCTGAAGTTTAGACATAGTACTCAGGAGTCTCTTACAGTTCTACTTATAAATGGCTATGTTCAATGTACATGTATAAATTTTATGTATTGATGTTATGAATTGTACAATGATGAGACCTAAATAAAAGATTAAATAAAAAATATCGTAACTGTTGTTTGATGCATTACTACTAAATCCGGATATATTATATTAGTAGAAAATAAAAGGTATGTATTTCATTTGGGAAAGACATCTTGGACTAGCGTCTTGCGTGTGACATATTTTCTCATGAAAAACCTTTTCTGCGAAGTCAGTTAAAACAATAAGGATAAACAAATTAAACTGGCCCACATTAAAAAGTAAATTCTGAAGTACAACCTTAAATTGTGACTTTGATCTGTGCAATTCAAGATTCTATGAGTCATTTCAGTATTGTATGTCTGTCACTGAGGCATAGAATGTACAAAACACCCAGATTACAAAAGTGGCCAACAATAGCCCGCCAGAAAATCAACAATCGGCTACTCGCATAGAATATAATAAACAAGATCAACAAGGAAAGGCGGCTTTCAATAAAGGCAACCCCACACGATCAAGCAACAAGAAGCAGTGGCAAGGAGCCGAAGAAGACTCCAAACAAAAACAGGACAGGGCGCAAGGCAGAGAACGGGCAGGCTAATCACTAAAATGATACATAAGAAGAAATAATAGTAACCTACAAGGAATAAAAGACAACAAATAAATGATTGGTTAATAGGCCCACTAAGTAAAAGGGCACAGGGGAAGGGGATAGGAGATTTGGGGAAGGACGGAGGGCAAACATTAAAGAAGTAAAACTAGGGGCAAAAGGGATGATACTTACCGTAGACGAAAAAACAACAAGGAACACAAACAAAATTGTCACCAAAACGGTATGAAACAACAAGACATACATCTGAGAGACACAGAGGGGAACGGTCAGCAGTACTACTGGTAGTTTAAACCGGTTAATGGTGCACTAAACCTCACTCTTAATTCCACCATGTTCCTAAGAACGAGACAGTGTAAATAAAATGAATCCCGCCAAGTGAAATTCTAACAGTTGTTATGGTTACAAAAGGTCAAATAAGTAAAACACCAAAATGATCATGTAGAAGCATATACAAGAAAACCCAACGACCATAACAAAAGTACTCAGTGTCTTTAAGGAAGAAGAGCAACAAGAAAAGCACATATAAGAGCCCGACGAAGCAAGGCAGAAGACGAACATTGAGGCAATTCAGTCCCAAAAGGCTTTAAGAACTGTCTATCATAAAGTATAGAGGAAAACGTAGTGTCCAACTGTAAAAGGGTTGAACAATAAGCATGCAGTAGTCTTAGGGTATCTTTAACTTAATTTTAGTCGCAAAATTAAAATCTTACAAGTTTGTCTTATTAAAAGGCTGCTATTGTCAAAGTTTTTAAATAATTTAATTTGTAAATCAATAGATTGTAAAATTTGTAAATATTTCCGTAACTTATTATAACGGTAGCCCTGTTTTAGAAGCTTCCGGGTAATGAAAATATTCCGCTCGTTGAAATCCAAACCCCTATTGCGAATTCGAAAAGGAAGGTTTATTTAGTCTCCCCTTCATTGGATTAATCGTAAAAATGGTGTGCCATATCGATACCTGTGTTTTATTAAATTTTATATTAGAAAGCTATGAAATACATGTGTCTATGCCGTAAACTTATAGGTGTTATACTAGTATCATTCTTAAGGGTTTGAATAATCAATAACCTAAATAATTAATTAATGATCATATTCACGTTTAAGCTCTCCGTTAACAATTATATAAAATACCACAACATATGTATAATTATGTATATCACTATGTTATGTACAACTAATAATTGTAAAATGTGGAATAAATGTACATGTACTATGTAAAGAAAGTATAAATAAATGAGTTTTAAACGTGGTCACAAAAAATGAAACAATGGGAGTAAAAGAAAAGGCTAGTGGGCAAGGAAAGGCACGTGGGCAAGTGTACCCTGAAAAAGAATCGCTAGAGTGACAGCTGTAATAGACATATTAAGTATCTGTTCTTGGAATGTAAAATCAATGGAATGCGACAAGAATGTATATAGCCAGGTTATATACGGTTTTACATTTTTTTAAATACATACAACGTACATAAATCATAACATTCCTGGTTTAAGGCGCTGCTTATAGTTTTATTACATTATTCAAATTATCAATAATGTCTGAATAACAGCTAATTAGTTAAATCTGTGAAGCAATGAGGAAGATTGCATAAAAATATATATTCACATTTTTTATCAAAGTACAACCATTTTATCATAATACACAACAGTAGAATATATAAAATACTTCCATGTGATTGTATTACTTGTAGGTTATTTATAAAGCATAATAATTTATATTTAACTTTAGCATGCTTACATATTACACACTACATAATATTATGGTACTTATATATTGATTATTCTTTTCCTTTATTTAGTATATATATGAAACAGAGTTCGTAATTGGACTGTCAAGGATAGAGGAAGTATTTTTTATTAACAAAGTGTTAAGTTTGTATTATAATATTCAGAGTTTATTCAATTTAGCTTAATATGCTTTAGTACAGTCTTAGTACTGATATATATAGCACATAAAAATAAAACATTTAAACGAAACTAAATTTAACATTTGGATGACATTCTTAGCTCTCAAATACTTTAGCAAACTAGAGCTTTATATTGATTTTCTTAAAAGATATATTTATATTTTCATTACTATCCAGCGATAATATATAGCAAAAGATGTGTTGTCCATGTAAGATTTAGTAATTTACTGGATAGAAACTCCACAACCAGCAGTCTTCAATGGAAGATAAAGACTTGAATAATCGATTGTACAAAACACTTGTTGATGTTGTTGGCACAGAAGACGATATACGTTGTAGACAAGATATGTTCACATACATGGGAGTGGTAAATGGATTTGGAGACAAGGATTCAGTTTCCATACCAGGCGGCAGCCTTTCAGAAGGTTTTGACTTGAAAGGTAGTGATGAGGACATTATGCTTGTTCTGAAGAATATTGACGTAGTTCCTGCTGATCAGGATGTAATGATTGATAAAAACACCGTAAGAGTCAACATGCAAGTCGATAAACAACGAGCCGGTTATGCAAGCTTAGATTTATCAGTGGATCAAGAAAGGTATGTTAATGATGTAGACAATTTGAATAGAACAGAGGTGCTGAACATAAAACGTTCGCTTCAGAAATCCAATAAAAAGTGTATAGTGGCAAGTGCAAGATTTAGGGGCCAATTCATTAGACCTGGGAACACTAGTCATGGACCATGTATTAGCGATGGACTTTTTGATTTTGCCATTAGTTTATATGGGACTGTATGGCCCAGTGAAGCAACGAAGAGACTCTCTACAAGCAAAAGTAAACGTTGGCTTACTAAAACTTTTGTGAACGAGCTCATATCAGAAGGTTGCATTTACGTGCCAGTGGGACCAAGACATTACTATTCTGGTACATTGTGGAGAATATCTTTTGCAAAAGCCGAAAGACGCCTAATCTTATCTATGCGTCACGTGCAGTGGTTATGTTATGGTCTTCCTAAGATAGTGTTTAAGGAAGGTATTGGAAAAGCTCTGACGGAGAATGACATACTATGTTCATACTTTCTTAAGACATGTCTTTTCTGGTTGGTTGAAGAAACAGATAATGATGAGAATGTTTGGAATCAAGGCAACATTTTCAATTGTTACATGATGTGTCTTGATAGACTCATCAAATGGGTTGAGATGATGAACTGTCCGAACTTTATCATACCTGAAAATAATATGTTCCGAGGAAAAGTTAATGATGAAAACAAATCAGACATATTAAAAGTTCTTCTTCAGATGAAAACTTCTGGATATAAAGGCCTACTTACATGCGAATCACTTCGTCAATACATGGAAACATCTGCAATAATAACACCTTTTGATCGTGAAGCTAAACTGGATCTCCTTTGCTTCAGAGTATTACACATTTATCCGTTCGACGATAAAGATTTGCTCCAGGAAGCACTGGAAAGAATGGAAAAAGAATATGAAAAACAAGAAAAGAAATTTACAAAAGGAATAATTGGCAATATTGTTTCCTCTCTTCACCAAGAACTGGCTCAAATGATACACGTATCTGAAAGTTATGAAGATGGCCAAAAATTGAAACGCCTACAGAAACATCATTTACTGAAAGGTTGCAAATCTGATCGGCTTTGTGGCCTTATTCTTCTAGCATCATTTTATTGCACCGAAAAGAAATATTATACTGCTCTTGAAATACTTAATACAGTCACAAGAAAATTAACACCTGAAGCCGGATTGCTTCTTCGACGAAATCCAGTTTATACGCAAGCTGAAATACAGGAGTATAAAGAAAGATTCTGTGGTAAAGGTTTATGTTTAGAAGAGAAATTTGACATGGCAACAGTAAGAAAAGTAGTACTTTTAGATAATTCCTCAATTGTTCCGGATGAATTTCAGCCTGAAGTTTTCAATTACCGACCGTTGAATATGATGTCGCCAACAATATATGCATATGCATTAATGTTTGTATGCTACCATCATATAAATGAGGAATCAAAAGCATTAGAGATGTTAGCCCATCTTGAACAAATCATAAAAACTCGGTTTCTCATTTCGTCAGTTGGAGCAACATACTCTACAGATTGTACAGTCGTCGGAGCATGTTTTGAAACGCAAGGCCATTACGAGACAGCTATGAAATACTACAACAAAGCTTTAAACTGTGAGCAGATATGTAGAAGCACTGCATACCGCTTTCGTCGTCTTGAAAAAAGATTTGCTGTAAGTTCAGTTGAAAAATAGACAAAATTTTGTTTTAAATAATAATTGATATTCATACGTATGAACATACCTGATAAAAATGAGATAAATTCACTGGCTATGTTAAGTATTAAGTCAAAAAAAAGATGTTACAACGTATTTAAGATGAGTCCCTTTCAACGTCTGTTTTGAGATCACTTAGCCATTTAAAAGTTCCGTTTTTTCGATATGAAAAGCATTGTCAATAAAGTACAAGTTCAGTTCAACATTTCAAACCAAAATCAGAACAATAGAGAAAAATGTTTTTACATAGAAGATATACTTGAAGACATTAAATACTAAGTACAATTTTCGTGTTACATGTATAGGTATTGTTGATATATTTTCTATAGAAATGTCATACTTGCTTTACTAAGTATCATTATGGCAGTTTGGTCCAAAGTAGGTACTAAATACTTTTTAAGGTAGCAGAGGAGTGTCCTGTTTAACGTCCATGATCCAATGAACAAGAATTTGTTCCTTTATATGTTTTTTCGTGACTTTAATATTACAATCAGCGTTATTTTGTGTGTTTTCTTTTGAATCAAACCCAAACTTTAAAATTAAGGTGAGGGGTCTGTCCTTCTCTAACCATTTGTGCTTAAGTATGTGCAAGGTAAACTCTATCAAAATTTATTATATCTAAGGATATTGAACTATCTGTTTATAGAAATATCAGTAAATTCTTTCTGTATGTACTATTTTGCAAAATTTTATGACGAAAAATCATTTTCTGCAAAAAGGAATTTCAGGATACATGTCGGAATGGTATATAATAAATTGTTTACTTTGAATAATATTAATATCTATGAATTTTTAGAGCCGCTGTGACATCGTCTTTAAAGCTTTAAATCAAACGCAAGAATGCTCACCGGGTAACTTGATACTGTGTATAAGCATGTTTTGCCAGGTGATAAATCGGTTTTCTTATATCGTCTTTTCCTCATTCATGAACATATTTGTTTTGTCCTGTGTCCATTTGTGAGATTTTCCAAAGAATACAATACATTCTAGTTTAGAGAGGGGTACTTGAGGTTTTCTTGAGGTCTTAAGTAAAATTGCTGTTGTGCTAACAATTGACTTAACTATTTGCTGTAGCCTATTTAATTATAAACAATGTACCATCAACAGTTGAAAACTGATTATAAAAAGACATTTAAATCTATATTAGATGACGTTTATACCAGAGCTTATAGTTTGACCCATTCGGTGACTGCCTTAACCACTTGCCAATAGTTTTACTTGGCAGTGTACTTGGAGTACAAAGATCAACAAAGACGGGACGAAACCCCCATGAACATCCAGTCCGACAGAAACACCGAAAGGGCATCCAATACGGCACAAAACAGAAAAGTGGTAACATTTATATGACTGCAAAGACACGCTAGTTTCACATGAGTGGCTTCTGCTGTTAGTGGGATGCAAAATCTTAACCAAACATTATCCCGGCTTATAATAGCACTAGGTTTGCATAATTACTTTGCAAATTTCTATGGGAGATAACAAATACAACATTTGCTAAATAATATTTCAAGATTATCTTTCCTACTTAAAACTTATGTATATCACTTTAATGTATACTTTGGATATTATAAGATACCTTTGCAGCAGCACTAGACCTTGTCTCTCCTGTGAAGTTTGTTAAATCAATGAGCGATTGACAAATATTAATGAAAAGAATAACAGTGTGGGAAGCATAAAATCAGCTCAGAATAAAAATCTGATGTGAAACAAAAAAAATCTTATAGATTGAATATAGTGTACAAATTCAAAGAACACATAGTATTACAATGTGATTTAAAGACTGTACACTTTAATTGGTTTTGTTTTTAAAGTATAAATTAGAGGACAATTGGCCGTTGTTTTCCTAACATGACCTACCAGTATCGCTATAAACTTTATTTGCAAGCAGCACGTAAGAAAGATTATGTTCATATAAAAAGTAATATATTATCATTATAAATTATAAACTAATTGCGTAGAATAATATAATTCACCGCTGTAATGTGAAAGTTTTCAGGTACTGGATTCAGATTTTTTTCTTTGTATTTCTAATCTTGTAATATGATTTCGTGAAATTAATGATAAATTACTAATTTACAAAAAAGTTGTTAGTGTACAAAATATCTTGCAAAATCATGTGTGAACGTGAGCGGGCCGTTGGATGATACACTTTCTATTACACTAATCATCTCATATTTGAAATCGTTTAACATGCAGTCTCATGTTAACGTGAGTGACAGTAGGTTTAAATAGCTGACGACTTTAGAAAAATATTTCCTAGTCATTGTGTCCCATACCGTGTTAATCGAAGGCTGAAGTAACCCATCATTAAATCAAAACGAAAGCACTTTGTAATACTGTGAACGAGAATTGGAAAAAAACCTCGACATTGTATGTTTTTAAAATCTTGATACGAGTGCTTAGTTAGCCATAGGTATATTGTATATTTTCAATATCCTTTCTACACAAAATTTTAACGATTTCAAATCATAAGAATTATTTTGAAACGATTCAGACTTAATAATATAACTTATAAGCAAAATCAAATTCGAGAAATGATACTTTATACATTTTTTTATTTCAATTTTAGCACTTTATTCAATAATCATATGTGAATATTGCAACGCAAATGAATTATTTCATTTGGGTTCTAATCGTTATTTGTTTCGTATAACAGTTAATTATTAATAATAATTTAGAAATGAAGTTGTGTTGTCAGGGCATTAATTGTTTATAGGTTTGTAAATGATATGTGAACCTTAGTATGTCTCAATTATTGTCATTTTATTATTTAACATTGATAATGGTTTTACCTTTACTTATTATCATCACTATTATTAAATTAGTATCATCATAATTGAAATTACATATTCTCACACCTTTAATAAGTATCATCATTTTGATTATCTTACCTTTAAAAATTATCATCATTTATCAAAAAAAACTGTAATTTATTACGTTAAAACTTGATCGAATGCCATGTATTTGAACTAATTCTTTTAATGAAGACGAAACTATTATTTCTTAAATTCTATATAGGAAAGCTATAAATGCATGTATGGCATTGTTGTGTCATGCTGTAGTTTTTTTTAAGGATTGATTAAACAATTAAATAAGTAATTAAGTAATGACCATATACATGTACTTTTACTTTATTCAGACCCTTTAGTCGTATTACATTTAAGGATTTATCATTTTATGGGCAAGCAATTTGATAATGTTTTAGTTTTTGAAACTCATTTACTATGTTTATTGATGCAATTTACTTAGAAAGAAGCATTGGAAAGTTAGTGATCTGGTCCTTTTAATAAATATAACTAAAACAGTTCATTTTGACGATAGGACTTTAACAAAATGGCTAAATAATAATATTCATTTAAGTGTTTCACATCAAAGTTTCTTTCATTCAAATTGATCTTTTACAGTTTAATATAATTACCATGTGAACATTCTCCTCAAAACTAGTGCGCGGCTTTTCCACATATTTTAAATTTTATCACATCTGTTGACTTCTGAAATATTAGCATCATACATTCATTTGATATACGAGATAGATATACAGTTAAATAGTGTAGTAACGTAATTATATTATCAAAAGACACATTAGTAATGAGCCTTTGGGGTTCCATGTGCCATCTAAGAGTTTTATACACTATACAATGTAGTCTATAATATTCCAAAGAAAACTTACTTCTGAAAGCCTTTGATTCGTTGTATAAGCAAATGTGATTAATTTAAAAATTGTGATACATTTATAATGTTAATTTATACTGTTAATTTTATACTATTGTGTGTGGTAGCTCTAATGTGTTCTTTTCAAATTCAATTTAAGAGTCAAATTTACTCAAATAGTTCCTGCATTGTTACTTTTTGTGTTTGTTTTTACTCCTTGATAAATTATACTCTTATATGTTTTGTGGCAACTCTTGAAACCTTGGATTTGATCAGTATATAACAGCCACAAACCTTAAATTGAAATACCTTATTTTTTATTAATATGTAATTTAAACTTGTATAATTGTTTAAATCAAATACAGAATTCTATTTTTTATCCCCGAATGCTCATAAAGTACCCATTATGTCCTTTAAAATAGTTTCAGCAGTTCAATGATCTCCTTACTATAGTAACAAGGAAGAAGGCAGGATAGGCCAAGACAAAAACAGCAAGTCATGCAACTAGTACAATCCTTCAAATAATAGCGTATATTTTGTGTTCTTTTATTAAACATGGTTAACAAGTTCTATTTAGAAGACAAAAATAAATAATATCACTCAATGTTGGTGACCATACACATGTAGTAATACAATTTTGTAACAAGGTAGAAATATTTCATTTGACGTGAGGTATCTATAGAAAAGAATTGATTTTAAACTGGTAAAATTGTTTTAAAGAAACAAAACTAACGTTATATACTTATTGGTTTGAATAATATTTTGTTTCTTCAGTGTGTATAACACACTATAACAAGGCATATGAATTATAATCAGGATTGAGTAGAAAGCTTATATGAAACTCTCTCCTGTAAAATATACCCTTGTTAACTTAATTGCAACATCATACGATTTATTTCAATAAATAATGATCTAGAACATAAAAGAAAACTTGTTATTGTTTGGTGAATGTCATTTCTATGAATAGACAGGTTTCCGTAATACATCATACGAGTATCTAGAAATCTAGACTTTCAAATATAATATGCTATTGTTGTCGCAAATTTTCAGAAAGAAAAATCTACGGTACTTTAATTCACTCAAATTAGTCGTAGGTTATAATTTATCCCTGTCCCAATTTCAAATATTATTTCAAACTTTTTTGATAGCCTTTAAGTCTCTTATAACTCATTCAGGAGTGGCATTTATATATATGCTTAGACACGTAAGATGTGCCGAGGCTCTAGGAAGATGTTTGCCATGTCATTTTGATTTTACTTGTTCTGTTTGGTATAATGGGTCATAGATTGTAGTAAAGTTCAAAGTTAATCAAATATGTTTATAAATACTTGGTTTACATCAGGTGTCACACATGGTCTTGGTCAACTTGATTGTTTAAGTGAGTACCAGGTGAAAAAAGAGTAAACCAGATAGTACCGTGCCATGCTTGAGACTTTATATCATACACGAGAAATCATTGAGAAGGATATGCATCCTGTACCATTTAATGATAACAGAAGCCATCTGTATTTTTGTTGTTGTTTTTTTTTAAGACAAACTTCACGTGTTCTTATTTAAAACGAAATAAAAATCAATAGCATGCAATTCGGATTAATCAAATTGTATGTTACATCAAATATTTATTTGCAAATGCAAGCAAAAACAAAGACAAAAGTAATTAAGGAAACGCACGTGATTAAGGAAAGGCCCGTGTCAAGGAATTGCTTAAATAACAGCTGTAAAAGATGGCATGCTTTTAAACGTCGTTGGTCCTCTTCGGATATATAAACTTTAAACAAATGGTGCATGAGTCGTGATTCATTTTCAAGTAAATCACATCTCTTGAAACTGTATTTTTGTATTTTGTGATACATTTAAATGTGATATTGTGATGATCGGTAAACATGCATTTAATGTTACCATAGACCATTTGAACTTTAATCTGCCTATTTTGATAATAAAAGTATCATCAGTATTAAAAAACGATTGCCATATGTATCCGTTTTTGGAGAAACACGACGACGAGTATGTCTTTAGTAGGTTTATACGGTATTACACTATATTAAAATACATACAATGTATAAAAATAATAGAAATCATAACATTCTTGGTTTTCGCTATTACTTATAGTCTATATTATTATTCAAATTATCACGGTTTCGTTAATTTTTATTCAAACTAAATGTATTCAGAGGGAGTTTAAAACAATGCAACAATACCCGAATTACAGTTTATGGTGAAGCAAGTGGAAGATTTAATATATAAAAATATATTTTTATATCAGTTAACACAGGTCGACATAATTTTATCATAATACACTACTATAGACAATATAAAACGCTTTCATGTCATTGTATTACTTGCATATATATTTATTTTACAATTTCATATGCGTTTCGGCTTTCTTTCTTTGAAATTGTTTGCCCTTCACATGTATAATATGCAAAACACATTCTAACCCGGAAAACTTTATAATCCAAACTTTTCTTCTTGTCCGGACGAGTTCGGATCCGTGGGGTTCCACTGTTTATCTTTAAAGCATGATTTATTATATTTAACTAAAGCAAGTGTACATATCACACACTTCATAACATAACATTATCTATACATGTACATTGATTTTTCTAAAATATGTTTGACAAGGAAGGGTAGAGGAAGTTTTAGTAAGAGGTAGATATATTAACATAACGTTTATTTTTTTGTTAAAATGCTGATATTTGTTCAGAGTATAGTTAAATCATTTAGCTTAATATGCTTTTTAGTACATTAGTACAGTGTTATAACTGTTATATTTAGCACATAAAACAACATTAAAAACAAATAAAATTAACATTTTTGATAACATTCTTAGCTCTAGTATACTGTTGCAATCTACAATTTTATGCCAATTTTCTAAATAAAATATATTTATATTTTTATAACTATCCGGCAAGAATTTTACCAAAAAACTATTTTGTCCATGTAGGGTTTAGCAAATTTACTGGATAGAAACGGCACAAAGGAAGTCTTAAATGGAAGATAAAGATTTAAATGGTAGATTGTACAGAACACTTGTTGATGTTGTTGGCACAGAAGACGATATTCGTTGTAGACAAGATATGTTCACATACATGGGAGTGATAAATGGATTTGGAGACAATGATTCAGTTTCCATACCGGGTGGCAGCCTTTCAGAAGGTTTTGACTTAAAAGGTAGTGATGAGGACATTATGATTGTACTTAAGAATATTGACGTAGTTCCTGCTGATCAGGATGTAATGATTGATAAAAACACCGTAAGAGTTAACATGCATGCCGATAAACAACGAGCCGGATATGCAAGCTTAGATTTATCAGTGGATCAAGAAAGATATGTAAATGATGCAGACAATTTGAAAAGAACAGAGGTGCTTAACATAAAACGATCGCTTGAGAAAACCAATAATAAGTGTATAGTGGCAAGTGCAAGATTTAGGGGCCAATTCATTATACCTGGGAACACTAGTCATGGGCCATGTATTAGCGATGGAATTTATGATTTTGCCATTAGTTTATATGGATCTGTATGGCCTAGTGAAGCAATGAAGAGACTCTCTACAAGCAAAAGTAAACGTTGGCTTTGTGAATCTTTTGTGAACGAGCTCATATCAGAAGGTTGTATTTACGTGCCAGTTGGACCAAAATATTATTATTCTGGTACATTGTGGAGAATATCTTTTGCAAAAGCCGAAAGACGCCTTATCTTATCTATGCGTTACGTGCAGTGGTTATGTTATGGTCTTCTTAAGATAGTGTTTAAGGAAGGTATAGGGAAAACTCTGACGGAGTATGGCACAATATGTTCATACTTTCTTAAGACATGTCTCTTCTGGTTGATTGAAGAAACAGATAATGATGAGAATGTTTGGAATCAAGACAACATTTTCAATTGTTACATGATGTGTCTTGATAAACTCACTATATGGGTTGAGATGATGAACTGTCCGAACTTTATCATACCTGAAAACAATATGTTCCGAGGAAAAGTTAATGATGAAAACAAATCAGACATATTAAAAGTTCTTCTTCAGATGAAAACTTCTGGATATAAAGGCCTACTTACATGCGAATCACTTCGGCAATACATGGAATCATCCGAAAGAATGACACCTTTTGAACGTGAGGCTAAACTGGATCTTCTTTGCTTCAGAGTATTACACATTTATCCGTTCGACGATAAAGAATTGCTTAAGGAAGCACTGGAAAAAATGGAAAAGGAATATGAACAACAAGAAAATAAATTTACAAAAGGGATAATTGGTAATATGGTTTCCTCTCTTCACCAAGAACTAGCTCAAATGATACACGTATCGGAGAGTAATGAAGACGGACAAAAATTGAAACGCCTACAGAAATATCATTTACTGAAAGGCTGCAAATCTGATCGGCTTTGTGGCCTGGTCCTTCTAGCATCTTTTTATTGCACCGAAAGGAAATATTATACTGCTCTTGAAATACTTTATACAGTCACAAGAAAATTTACACCTGAAGCCGCCTTGCTTCTTCGACGAATAATTTATTCGCAAGCAGAGGTACAAAGGTATAAGGAAAGATTCTGTAGTAAAGATTTATGTTTAGAAGAGAAATTTAATATGGCAACAGTAAGACAAATAGTACTTTTAGATAATTCCTCTATTGTTCCGGATGAATTTCAACCTGAAGTTTTCAATTACCGGCCTTTGAGTGTGATACCCCCAAATATATATGCATATGCATTAATGTTTGTATGTTACCATCATATCAATGAGAAATCAAAGGCATTAGAGATATTAGACCAACTTGAACACATCTTAAAAACTGGGCTTCTCATTTCGCCAATTGGAGCAGCATACTCTATTGTTTGTACAGTTGTCGGAGCATGTTTTGAAACGCAAGGCGATTACGAGACAGCTATGAAATACTACAACAAAGCTTTAAACTGTGAGCAGATATGTAGAAGTACTGCATACCGCTTTCGTCGTCTTAAAGAAAGATTAGCTGTTAGCTCAGTTGAAAAATAGACAAAATTATGTTTTGAACAAGTATGGATATTCATGCGTATGAACATACCTGATAAAAGTGAGATAAATGCACTGGCTAAGTTAAGTATTAAGTCAAAAAAGATTTTACAAACGTATTTAAGACAAGTCCCTTTCAACGTCTGTTTTGAGATCACTAAGCCATTTAAGCGTTCCGCTTCTTTGATGTGAAAGGCATTGCCTATATAGTACTGTTCTGTTCAACATTTTAAACTAAAAACAAAAGAATAGTGAAAAATGTTTTGAAAAAAAGATATAATTGAGGACATTAAATACTTAGTACAATTTTCGTGATACATGCAAAATATTGTTGATAAATTTTCTATAGAAATGTAATACGTGCTTTACTTCTTTATTACAGTTGTAACCTGTACCAGGTCCTCTTTGGGTCCAAAGTAGGAACTGAAAGCTTCTTTATGACCCCTAGGTGAGAGATGATCATAAATACTTCTTAAGGCAGGGGAGGTGTTCCTGTAAACGTCCATGATCCAATTAACAAGACTGTGTTCCATGCATGTGCTTTTCGTGACCTTAATATTACAATCAGCGTTTATTTGTGTGTTTTCTTTTTCATCATACACAAAATGTTAGAATTGTTGTGAGGAGTTTGAATTTCGTGCTAGTATATACAATATTTTTGAATGACTTTACTCGGACCTATTTAAACCTAAATAAAATGTTTATTCAAGAATTAAATAAAACGTTTTGATAAATAACTCCCAATAATATTTCTAATACTTTAATCGTCTTGTGTCCAGTTTTGAGATTTTCCAATGAATATAATACATTCTAGAGAGGGATACTTGAGTTTTTCTTGAGGTTTTTAGAAAAATTGCTATTTTGCCAATGATTGACCTGGTGCCTTTTTTATTATATATAATGTACAATCAGTTGGAAACTGATTATAAAAGACATATGAATATTTATTTTATACTTTAAAGTTGGTTAATGATTTATCTGTGAAAAATATATTTGGTAATTTCACACTGAAAATTATCAAAGTTTCATACTTTAATGACGAGATTCCTTTATAAAGATTTCCCAATGTGGTATATCAATTACAATTATGATATTGTCATGGCTGTTTAAAGAAAAGCAAAGTTAAAATTGAAAAATAACTTAAATTTCAAAAGTAATAAAAAGAGAAAACTTACTTCAATTTATTCAAATTACTAATCACCAAATATCGTATCTAAATGTTTGTTTCATTTTACTGTCAGAAAAATACATTACCTTCCACATGCAAAACTGCTCTTGGTGACATTTGGGCATACTTAAGTATCCCACGAGCAATTACTGCCTAATGCGATATGAAAAGCAATCACAGTTACCAGCCCGAAGCATAAGTAAACAACCCATTGTTCGCAAGACAGCCTTTAAACAATTACGAGTTTTCCAAATTCCTTTGCTTTTTGAATGTTTACACATCCATGACATCTATCAACAATTATTCATTGTATGTAACATTATCCTCAAATATGTTTTCTTTCTTATAAATAGATGTATGACTAACAAATCCAACTGAAATCCCTCTGTATCAAACACTGTGAAATACATAACTTTTAAAAATGGCGGTCGCTTACATCTAATATAAACTTCCGCTGAAAATAAAGGAAATAAGGTCGGCATGGTGTGTCTTTTTTTTATTAGAATTATTTGTTTTTATTATTAACAAACGATCATTCATATATTTTAAATAAAATAAATAAATAATCACCATTTATTTTTTAGCTCAAGACTTCATGTTTTTATGAGATTAATTCTGAAATTAATGGCTAGCAGTGGGGAAAACAGATTGTGATAATCAAGTGAATATTCGGGAAATTTAAATGGCTTTTAAGCATTAAATTAAAAGGAAATTTGTTTGTTTGTTGTGTTAGATGTTATTTTATTTCATCTCGTGGTGAGCTTTAAAAACAGTAGTCTCAAGAGTGGCGAACACATGTTTTTAAAGCTCACTCGATAAAAAAAGAAGAAATAAAATTTCATCTCACACAAAAGAAACAAATATTCTATATATCTTAGATGTACAGTGAAATGTGATTTTAATAGCAAAGGTGAGTACCTTTAGCACAACCACTGAAGTTAATACGAGAGCTTATAATTTGATCCAGCATTTAGTGACTTCATATTAATCACTTGCCAATAGTTTTAACCCCAATAGTGGAAAGCGTCATAGCTTCAATGAAAGATCGACTATTTACTTTGCGGTGTACTTGGAGTACAAAGATCAACAAAGACGGAACGAAGTCCCCAAAATCGGTAAAATATATATGGATCTTAAACTTTAACTGCAAAGACATGCTAGTTTCACATGAGTGACTTCTGCTGTAAGTGGAATTGTAAGTGGAATGCAAAATCCTAACCAAACATTATCCCGGCTTATAACAGCACTAGGTTTGTCTAATTAGTTTGCAAATATCTATGGGAGATAACAAATACAATATTTGTTAAATAATAGTTCAAGATTATCTTTCCTACTTAAAACTTATGTATATCATTTAAATTAATGTATATTTTGGACATTATTAGATACCTTTGCAGCACTAGACCTTGTCTCTCCTGTGAAGTGTGTTAATTCAATGAGCGATTACCAAATATTTATGAAAGGGAAGCTCAGAATAAAAGTCTGATGTGAAAAAAAAACAATGTTCTTATAGACTGAATATATTGTACAAATTCAAAGCACACATAGTTTTACAATAAGTGATTTAAAGACTGTACACTTGAATTGGTTTTGTTTTTTAAGTATAAATAAGAGGACAATCGGCCGTTGTTTTCCGTACATACTTACCATGCAGCATCGCTATAAAAATCTGCAAACAAAGTGATCCCTCGGAAGCATTAACCACAACAAAATTTCAAGAGAATTGCAGACTCGGTTTGATTGTCTGAGTCTGTACATGAGGGATAATTAATACGTGCAACATCCCTCACGTCCCCTAGCACCGGCTTGAGCGGTACTCAATTCTCAACACTTAATAGTGCTGGCATCAATGATCCCGAAACTCTATAAACTCTATTTGCAAGCAGCACGTAAGAAAGATTATGTTGATATCAAAAATATATAATCATTATTAATTATAAACAAATTGCGTAGAATAATATAATTCACCGCTATAATGTCAAAGTGTTCAGGTACTGGATTCAGATTTTTTTCTTTGTATTTCTAACCTTGTAATATGATTTCGTGAAATAAATGATAAATTACTAATTTACAAAAAAGTTTTAAAAGCACTGAAAATTTTCTCTAAGAATAACAAAAATGCTTTTCAGTTCTTGGTTAACTCTATGATCTTAAAAACATGTAATACCAGATCACAACGCGGTTTAAAACCATTTTGTACTCTTCGGAACGCCGACTAATAAATCGGTCATTAGTGTGAACGTGAGCGGGCGGTTGGATGATACACTTTCTATTACACTAATCATTTCACATTTGAAATCGTTTTACATGCAGTCTCATGTTAACGTGAGTGACAGTAGGTTTAAAATAGATGTCGACTTAAGAAAAATATTTCCTAGTCATTGTGTCCCATGCCGTGTCAATCGAAGGCTGAAGTAACCCATCATTAAATCAAAACGAAAGCACTTTGTCATACAGTGAACGTGAATTGGAAAAAAGACCTCGACATTGTATGTTTTTAAAATCTTGATATGTACAATTAGCCATCGGTATATTGTATATATTCAATATCATTTCTACACAATATTTTAACGATTTCAAATCATAAAAATTATTTTGAAACGATTCAGACTTAATATAACTTATAAGCAAAATCAAACTATTTTGGTCTCAAACAATAGGTCTGATTAAAGCTTTCGAGTTATGATACTTTATACATTTACATTTCAATTGTAGCATTTTATTCCATAATCATACATGAATATTGCATCGCAATTGAATTATTTCATTTGGCTTATCAGCATAATTGTTTCGTATGAAAGTTATACTCCTTACAGAATTTAGAAAGGCAGGGCAATAATTGTTTATAGGTTTGTAAATGATATGTGAACCTTACCATGTCTCAATTATTATCATTTTATTATTTAACATTGATAATGGTTTTACCTTTACTTATTATCATCACTATTATTAAATTATTAGAGCTCTATCATTATAATTAAAATTAAATATGCTCACACCTTTAATAAGTATCATCATTTTGATTATCTTACCTTTAAAAATTATCATCCTTTATCAAAAAAAAATGTAATTTATTACGTTAAAACTTGATCGAATGCCATGTATTTGAACTAATTCTTTTTATGAAGACGAATCCAGTATTTCTTAAATTTTATATAGGAAAGCTATAAATGCATGTATGGCATTGTTGTGTCATGCTGTAGTTTTTTTAAAGGATTGATTAAACAATTAAATAAGTAATTAAGTAATGACCATATACATGTGCTTTTACTTTATTCAGACCCTTTAGTTGTATTACATTTAAGGATTTATTATTTTATGGGCAAGCAATTTGATAATGTTTTAGTTTTTGAAACTCATTTACTATGTTTATTAATGCAATTTACTTAGAAAGAAGCATTGGAAAGTTAGTGACCTGGTCCTTTTAATAAATATAACTAAAACAATTCATTTTGACGATAGGACTTTAACAAAATGGCTAAATAATGGTTTGAATAATATTTTGTTTCTTCAGTGTGTACAACACACTATAACTAGGCATATAAATTACAATCAGGATTGAGTAGAAAGCTTATATGAAACTCTCTCCTGTAAAATATACCCTTGTTAACTTAATTGCAACATCATACGATTAATCTCAATAAATAATGATTTAGAACATAAAAGAAAACTTGGCGAATGTCATTTCTATGAATAGAAAGGTTTAGGTAAGCACATATACATGGTACGAGTATCTAGAAATCTAGACTTTCAAATATAATATGCTATTGTTGTTGCAAATTTTCAGAAAGAAAAATCTACGGTACTTTAATTCGAGTGGTGTAATAAGGACAATTATTTTAAAATTTCATATGATGGACTCCCTACCAGGTAAGAAAAGAACTGGTTACCAATCATCGCCTTCGTTAACAACTCATTAGCTTGTCACTCAAATTAGTTGTAGGTAATAATTTATACCTGTCTCAACTTCAAATATTATTTCAAACTATTTTTGATAGCCTTGAAGTCTCTTATAACTCATTCACGAGTGGCATTAATGTACATGCTTAGACGTAAGAAATATTTTCTTATATGCCGAGGTTCTAGGAGGCTGCTTTTAATATCATTTGGTTTTACATGTTCTGTTTGGTGTAATGGGTCATAGGTTGTAATAAAGTTACAAGTAAATCAAATATACTTATAAAACTTGGTTTACATCAGGTGTCATATATGGTCTAGATCAACTTGGTTGTTTAAGTGATCACCAGGTGAAAAATATAGTAAACCAGATAGTACCGTGCCGTGCTTTAGACTAAATTCATATGTAGCTACTATTTGTGGCTGTCAATAATGGTTAAAGGAATACCAGGAGCAACTGCAACATGCTTGATTCAAGGTAGTTGGCAAAATGTCATTTGCTTTAATGGTTGAAACTCTCTTTCTCAGGACATAAATGATTTGAAAAACATATTCTTAATTTATTTTTATTTGTATATGTCGACTTTTACGATTGTTTATGTCAAAATGGACACATTTCTTTCATTGGAGGCAAGACACATTCATGACTAAGTTAGTTCTGTTTTGTGTCAGTTGCGTGTATTGTGATTAAAGATGTGAAAATCATTCTTTTCTCAACATACAATATTACAAGGTACAAAATGGCATATTAGTAATCCTTGTAAATGTAGTGGTTGACATAGTTTATTCATTTAATGCATGCATTAATGTTAAATATCAACAAATTAAAGAAACATAATTTATCTTTCTATCTACTGAAGGACTCAATCCCCTCAGCAGTGCCATTCAATTAGTTCTGTATAGTATTTATACCATCATCGCACTTCTGCGGCATGTGAATGTGCTGTATAGCAAAACATTGCCCTTTGACAAATATTAATTTAATCGGTCATTAGTCTGCAAAATATCTTGCAAGATCATTTGTGAACGTGAGCGGACCGTTGGATGATACGCTTTCTATTATACTAATCATTTCATAAACCGACAGGTATTTAAATTCATTTTACATGCAGTCTCATGTTAACGTGAGCCAGAGTAGGTTTAAATCGTTGTCAACTTGTGAAAATATTTCCTAGTCATTGTACTCCAAGCCTTGTCAATCGAAAGCTGTATATTAACCCAACCATTAAATCAAAACGATAGGTATATATAAAACACTTTGTCATACGAGTGAACGTGAATTTGAAAAAGACCTCGACATTGTGTGTATTAAAATATTGAAAAGTATGTATATGGCTTAGTGAGTCATCAGTTTGTTATTATATACCCGGAGTATATTTCTATTTTGGAAAAAATCTTTTAAAAAAATTAACCACTGTATTCCATGCCATAGTTTTTGTCATGAGAGTCATGGTCTTTCAATTTTAGTACAAATTTATCTTGATGAAAGATATTGATGTTACCCACAGCAACTAGAATTAAACAGTTTTGAACATAGATCAAAATAAACCATATTTAGAAGTGTTCTGATTTTATGTACTAGACCAGGTTTGCACGGATGTTAAAGATATCTCGCATTACCCTTTCGTTTTGGTCTGTCCATTGTTGCTGGTATCTGTGCAAATTCAACATGATTGGAATCACAGCAATTGGTCAATGTTATTAATTCCTACTGCTAATGATTATTTAATATTTTATTAACATTTTCTAAAATTTCTTAAAACACAGTCAAGATGTACTAAAATTTCATAAAATACGCAAGTATTTCTATGTTTTAGAAAATTATTTTTAATGGACCTATGATGGCTGTGTTAGAAGGGCATTCATTCAAGATATGGAAAGGCATTTGCTTTTAGAGATCACAATATTTATTGCACTGATTAAAATGTTCCATTTAGCATACGTACCGTTAAAACTTGTTTCAACCCTACTTAGAACAGAACAGAAAAAAACTGGAAAAGGGGGAAACTTCGGAAACATTAATCGCAACAAAATTACGTGAAAATTGAAAACTCGATTGATTGAGTCTGTACTTGAGCCATTTGAGGGATAATGAAATAGTGCAACATCCCTGACGCCCCGTAGCACAGGCTTGAGCAGTACTCAATTTTCAACCCTTTAAAGTGTTGGAATCATTGATCCCAAAGGACCAGAAAAATGTAACAACACTGAAGTTTTCAAACATCATAACATTAACTCCTTTATGTGAACAGTCAGAAAAGGCTTCCGTCATTATGTGTCCATATTAGGCCCTTTTATTTTCTATCTTATTTTTATCATACAACCAAATCAAATATATAAACGTATATAGAACACACGATCATACTTGTGGCATGAAGAAATTTCGAGTTATTGATAGTTAAATAACACCACAAATAATTTGATAAGATTGTTACGAGAATTAAATTTATATACACCCCACCCGTTTTTCATTCTTTTAAAAGAATTATTATTATATAATTTGATTAACATCCATTTCATTTTAAATATTAACTCATTAACTTAATAAACACAACACAAACCATCTCTAACCATTTATATGAAACGTTCAATTAACATTTTTATGACTTCAATATATGCACGTGTGTTGTCAGTTTAACAGATTTAAACATGTGTAAGCAGAAAATGGAGCTTTGGACGAAAAAGAAGGCTTTAAACTAAACACTGATAATTGATATCCATTTTAAATCATTTTGAACCTTTTCGTTTTAATAGAAGAAATATTTATCGTTATGTAACATTTCTGTAGAAGAATATGAAATAATTCTTTAAAAAAATCTTTATTTGTATGATTATTCGCATATGATTGTGACTTGTTTTTTTTTCTCTGTGGCATTATTTGGAAGACATACAAAGGTGAACACGTTTCCCAACAAAACATTATGAAAAGCCTACTGCAACTAACATTAAATAGGTAAATGGTTACTGAAATAATTGTTTAACAATGTTGATTTTTTTTGTCACATGTGATTTTGACTGCTTTTTTCTATGTGACATTATTTGGAAGACATAGGGCCTACCAAGGTGAACAAAATTTCCCCAAACAAAAAAAAGAAAAGAAAAAAAGGAAGATAATAACAATGTTAACGAGTAGAATATTTTATATAAAGTCTCGAGCAACCCATTTTATAAAATATATTAATTTTAAATACTGTAATACTGTAAGTTGTTATTTAACTTGTGTTTTAATTTGTAACATTATTGTAGCATGATTCAACAGATAAAGAAATATGACTTCCGAGGTAACAGTTTTAATGTCTAGTTTGTTCAGCTTTAACTTCCTTGAAATACAAACTTCAACATAGTTAATCAATCCAAATCCGAGTCAGTAGGTGCCCAAAATAGATAACTGATAATATATTTTTCATATTTGCAGACAAAAAATGTTTCGACTTTAACTGAGTAAATTCAGTAGTCTGCAAATATTTAGTATATATATGTTACTTTTAATAGATATAGAGTAACTAATTGTAGTGATATCTAATCATAACAGATATATATATATATCTGTTTATCATAAATAAAACATCCCTTTTCTTTCTTGTAGATGTGCAGTATTCCTCCTACCTAAATCTGAAGCTTATATTTGCACATTTCATTGATACTTTTATCTTGAAGACTGTTCGATTGTATGGTTGTGCAAGATGGTTGTTCCGTTATCGGCACAAGCGCCAGGAAGTTAAAGTTTTAAAAAAAAATATTTTTTTTTAATTTAATACCCTGGCATTTGTGCCAATTGCAATTGTAAATTGGAAAAGTTTCAAATCTCTAACAAAAAAGTCATACAATGGAGACTGCATTGTAGTTTGCTTGTTTGATTATTTGATGTGTTTCTATTTATACCAAGACAAGAGCGCAAGACCATATTTGCAGAGGGTTTCATTTATTTTTGGTTTATAGCATTTTTTCTGTGTCAGTCGTTGGTCGATCTATTTTCAAACTTGTGACAGAGGAAAATACAAATGTACACAGAAGTGGGAATGGTCGTTTCTTTACCAGTGAAGCTACATCACTTTTGGCGAGTTGGTGTTAATTTAAACAGGACAACAATAAAACAATTATCAATAAGGAGGCAGTGTTGTAGTAATGATTTTTTGTAAGTATAATCAAAGTTGACTTCTTCGTCAAAGCAGACTTTAGAACCATTTATGTTTACATGTCAAAATAAAATCAAGTATTTATATATGCATGGTAGAAAACCCTTTAAGCACAGCAACGGTACAATATAATAAAACATAAGAAAGACATAATAGGTTTGATTTCTTTTTTTATTTTTCCTAGTTTTGATCATTTTTGAAAAGCTTTATAATGCTTCAACAAGTTATTATAACAAAACATAGTAATCATAGTGGTAAACATTATAATAGGTAACAATAACATTATGCAGATCTCCAAAAGTGTAACGAACATGATAACATAATAACATGAACAATAAATGTAAACAGTAACTTCATCACATTATCATGTGACGCTGGTATCTCTCCCCCAGTTAACAAAGGGAGCATATGAAAACAGTGTATTCTATAACATGATTATGTACTTCTTGAACATAACTATTCTTATATGGTATAAATCATCATGTTTCTGTTTTTCTAGACAAAACTTTCTCTTAAGTAAATAAATTGTAAAAAGTCTTCAAAATCTTTTTATAAATTGACTGGAAATCTATTCCAACAGCTATATTGGGATATAAAGAATACATTCGTATTTTTGATCAGTTTATTGTATTACCATTTTATATCATAATATATTCGAAATAATCGAAAATTGACAAAAATGGTAAAATTCTGATCATTTTTTAACATTTTAATTTACTATTTCATATTTAACAACTGAAAATTATTCCATCTTGTCTTTCAAATATTGAAAAATCAAAATGTCATTCAGAAATTTATCACACTAGTCAAAACATTCTTTTTTAATTCTTTAAAAAGTTATTAAAAAGAAATAAGAAAGTCACATGATAATTTGTACTTTTTTATAAATAAAAATCATCATGAAAAAAGTCTTACTGTCAAAGAAAACTCCTTAACATATTATGGAGAATGTATTGAGCAGATTTTGGACTTCGTGAACATAGTCCCTCACAATCATTTTTTCTTAATTAAATCACAACAAAGTCAATGCAACCTTGTGCAAATTATGTGTTCTCTGAATAATTTGTTGAACTTCCAATATGAAATATTAAACTATCTATTCATATCAAATTTACATTCAATTCTATAAACAGACACTAAATGTTTTGATTATATAGTGATTGTTGCACATTCAAAATATTGTCTAAAACAATACAGTGTGTGTACATAAATGAAAGCCCATAATTATCTTGTCTAATTTAATATCAGAGAAACCATTCTCTAAATTTTGTTTTATAGTTTTAAATGATTTCAATCAATCATGAAGTCTTTTTGAGACATCATTCAACTGTACCTACACATTGTTACTACACATTGTAACTATAGGCATTGTAATTACATGGCTTTTCAACTTATGAATATGCTAAAAGCAGTACCGTGTCACATGGTGAGCTTAATGTGTCACAGATTTCAAATGTATATAATGGAAGTGAATACATAGAACAGCTGACTGGCCTTAAAATCACGTATTGCCTTCAAAGTCTTTGTATATTCATTAGAACTTACAAAAAAGTAATAGAAAACTCCAGCATTTTTATGTTCAATACTGTTATATATACTTAAAGCCAAATATAACATCCTTAAATTCTTATAAATATATACATATATTTATCTTTTGAAATGCCATATAAATTCATTTGAAGGTAAGACAACATTATTTCAGAATGAAAACATGGACACACTTCTCTCACAGTATTTTAAGACTATTCCATACTACACATATATATATATCATACATGTAAATATATATATGTACAATAGTCATGAAGTTACACACTTTACAATACATAAATCTTTGATGACTAGCTGAGGTTTGTTCGGTTTGGATTGTTCTACATGTCATTATTATATCCCCATTAATGTTCAATATTATATCCTCAATATTCTATCCTCAATAAATGTTCACTACATCCTCCTTTTTCTGTTTCTCACTTTATAGATCAATCCCTCTCTATTCACTTTCAGGTTAGTCTGATCTTATATCAGTTGTATTTATTGGCCATTATAAACTTATGCATTTCTTATCCTGGCCTGCTGCTCTTACAGAAACTGGATTAAAATGTTAAACTTTTTTTCTCATTTCACTTGAATGCTACTTTATATATGAATTTGTACAGTAGCATATATCCATATATCAGTGGGAAATTGTCATAGTTTTCTCTTATATTAAGCCTAATTTCTGAGCAATTTTCACATGATTTTTTTCTTTCTTTCCTTAAAAATTGTTTTTATCTTTGGTGTTGAATGTCTTAAATATGAATTAAAACACAAAATCTTGTTTTAATTCAGTTTTTGTTTGTTGTATTTATGGTTTTGTTGTAAGAGCTACACTGGAATAATAACATGCTACAAGGTAGCATAATCAGCTTTTGGTCAATGGTTACACACTATGTGGGGAGATTTGATGTTTCAACATACAATAGTCCAATGTTTCTTCATTTTTATATCAGTATGGGGTTTTGTTTCTTTCTTTTCACATATATTTTCAATTTTATTTCAGTATTATATTCCTCTATGACTTATTGCTATCAGCTGCCGACAGGTTCAGCACCGACGGCGACTCCATGACCACTACGTCCACATGTCATGTAGGAAACATCCGTCCACTCATCTTTATCAGGATCATAACACTCGACTGTTGACAAGAAATCATTACCATCATAACCACCTGAAATAAACAAGAGGGCCATGATGGCCCTAGATCGCTCACCTGAATTATCAAACTCATCCAAACAATTACCTAGACAAGCATTCTGACCAAGTCTCATGACAGGTGAGTCAAAAATGTGACCACTACAGTGTTAACAAGGATTATCCATATTTGAGCAGTGCGACCTAGTTTTTTACCCAGGTGACACATATTCAAACTTGACCTAGAAATCATCAAAACAAACTTTCAGACCAATTTCCAGGATACTTGGATCAAAATAGTAGCAACTAGAGTTTGTTAACAAGATTTTTCTATTTTTAGCTCCGGTGACCTAGTTTCACATGCGATTTCGAACTCATCCAAGCAATTACCTAGACAAACATCCTGACCAAGTTTGATGATAATTGAGTCGAAAATGTGACCACTAGAATGTTAACAAGGTTTTTCCATATTTGGGCGGTGTGACCTAGTTTTTCATCCAAGATGACCCATGTTCGATCTTGACTTAGAAATCATCAAAACAAACTTTCAGACCAATTAACAGAATATTTGGATCACAACAGTAGCCACTAGAGTGTTAACAAGATTTTTTCTATTTTTAGCTCCTGTGACCTAGTTTTTTCATCCGAAATGTCCCATGTTCGATTTATTCCCAGCAATGACCTAGACAAGTTTCCTGACCAAGTTTGATGACAATTGAGTCAAAATTGTGACCAACATAGAGTGTTAACAAGGTTTTCTATTTTTAGCTCCTGTGACCTAGTTTTTTCATCCGAGATGACCCATGTTCGAACTCATCCGAGCTATCACCTAGACAAGCATCTTGATCAAGTTTGATGATGATTGATGCAAAAATGTGACCGCTAAAGTGTTAACAAGGTTTTTTCTATTTTTTAGCTCTGGTGACCTACTTTTTCATCCGAGATGACCCATGTTCGAACTCATCCAAGCTATCAACTAGATAAAGCATCCTGACCAAGTTTGATGATGATTGATGCAAAAATGTGACCACTAGAGTGTTCACAAGGTTTTTCTATTTATAGCTCCGGTGACCTAGTTTTTCATCCGAGATGACCCATATTCGAACTCATCCGAGCTATTATCTAAACAAGCATCCTGACAAAGTTTGATGATGATTGGGTCAAAAATGTGACCACTAGAGTGTTCACAAGGTTTTTCTATTTTTAGCTCCTGTGACCTAGTTTTTCATCAGAGATGACCCATGTTCGAACTCATCCAAGCAATTGACTAGACAAGCATTCTGACCAAGTTTGATGATGATTGGTTCAAAAATGTGACCACTAGAGTGTTCACAAGGTTTTTCTATTTATAGCTCCTGTGACCTACTTTTTCATCCGAGATGACCCATGTTCGAACTCATCCAAGCTATCACCTAGACAAACATCCTGACCAAGTTTGATGATGATTGGGTCAAAAATGTGACCTCTAGAGTGTTCACAAGGTTTTTCTATTTTTAGCTCTTGTGACCTAGTTTTTCATCCGAGATGACCCATGTTCGAACTCATCCGAGCTTTCAACTAGATAAGCATCCTGACCAAGTTTGATGATGATTGAGGCAAAAATGCGACCGCTAGAGTGTTCACAAGTAATTGTGGACGGCCGGACGGACGACGGACGACGGACGACGGACGACGGACATTCACCGATCCTAAAAGCTCACCCTGAGCAAGCTCAGGTGAGCTAAAAAGCACAGATTAATCTACAGTCATATCTACAGTCATATAATAAATGACTATACTTAGCAAATCATCGTTATCATTTTCTTCAGACTGTACTGCCTCAAAATTAACTTGCCAAATAAGAACTCAAACAAACATTTTCACAGTTTGTTGTAATTATGCAACTGACTTCACGGTGCTAGATGAATAGCCCTATCACATGATCAGTAAAGGCATTTTCAATGCAGATTATGGCATTGACAAATGAAAGTGATTCATTATATTAAAAAATTTATTTATTAATCAAAGTAGCATTTACAGTGTCAGCTGTTCATTGAAATATGTTTTAGATCAAAAGCAGCAACTTTTCCAGCAGGAAATATTTCTTTCTATTAAACAATTATAAATTTTGCTTCTTTAACTGATTTCAAAAAATTCTGTACCTAAAGCATAAAGTTTTCCACCAAGTACAGCCACACTTAGAGCACTACGTGGACTTCTCATAGGGGCTACAAACTCCCATTTATCTGTCATAAGACAATATCTTTCTACTGTACGTAATTGACTGGTACTGTCATACCCTCCAACAACATACACACAACCATCCAGGGACGTACAACCTGCAATACAAACATACATTGTTTAACATTTTTATATTTGATCTAATACAATTTGTTCATACCAGTAAGGGAGGTAACTTTGTTCATCCTCCTAAGTTTATTTAAAGGGAGATCAACATGTAAAGTTTACCTACAGGACCTTGTTGACATTTAAACACTAATTAAAACGTGTAACCCAGTAAATAGAGTATCAATGTTATAACACATAAACCTAAACATATCTTGTTAAATGCAACCAAATGTCAAATGTAAAACTGATCTGGAAGTATCCATCAATCACTGTCACTTCATAATGCGTCATTTCCAGTGAGGGACACAAAAAAAAAATCACAATTTTTTGAAAATCATGATACAAATAATGAATCTCTGACCAAAAAGTTAACAATGAATCATTCACACTTTAACATCAGAAATTTACCTATCATTGACCTGTGACATATGAAATCCATTGATAATTACCAGTATCTATTTTGTTTCATCTAAATAAAAAGTAAATCATTTTTATCAAAAATTTCTTTCTTTTTTTAAAAAAAAATTCTGGAAATAATGAAAATAATCATTTAAAAAATATTATAAATTCAAGACTGAACAATATCTTAAGAAATAATTTTTTAAATAGTTTTAACAACTCATACATACATAACAATTGAATTTGGAGCAAACCACTTTTATAAATGGACCTACTTTCAGGACAAATAACAAACCTCACAATTTCACTGGAAACTGATTTTAATTTTTGTCATGATCAAAAAAAACCTTTCTAGTAAAACAATAATATGTTATCTGAGATATCAAGTTTCAAATTTCTGTCTTATTTCTAGATTATACAACTCACTGAAAATGTTCATTTTTGCCTCAGTATTGTAAATTAAACAAGCAGGATAATTGGAAAATGTTACATCTGCTACTAGTTTTATATAACTGTTTGTGTAAACTTATTTCACTTTGAAAACAAAGCAAAATTTTTCTTTCATCCAGACTTTTTTTATCTTGCTAAAAAAAATTAAATATGTATAAATGGCTAACCCTGCTTTGAATTTTTAATTTTGATGAATTCCGAACTAAAATGCTGAAATTGACAGTATTTTCAAGTCAAATTGCATTGATATACAATACAGACTCCCCTGTTCTATATTGATGATATAGGCAGGTCACTATCTCAACATTTAGAGAGAGGTAGAAGTGACTTACCAGCACCACTTCTTGTTGTATTCATAGGTGACACATATGACCATTCATCATTTTCTGGATCGTATCTTTCTACACTTTTTAAGCGCTGTTGACCGTCATACCCTCCTACAGCAAACAGAAGTCGATTAACACACGCCAGACCTACGCCTATACGCCGACTGTTCATTTGGGCAATTTTCTGCCATTTGTCTAGATCTGGATCATATCTGAAAAAAGATGATAATAACAGTACATCAACTAATTAAAAATCACAGGTTTTTTTCTGTATCAATATCATCATTTTCATAACCATGTGAGGGGAAAATTTGTAGCAATTTTCTTTATTGAGAATATAGTTCAAGGGGTTATTCTATGGATGGTATATCATCGAAAGATATCAAATAGAAATATATGTATCTGAAAATATATTTAACCTTTTTTTCAGATGAAAATGGACAAAAACAGAGTGCAAGACCAAAAAACTTTTATCATATATTATCTGTTTAACACACAAAAAAAGAAAAGAAGAAAAAGATTGATAATAAGAGATTTCTCAAAAAAAAAAGAAAAAAAAAGAAAAAAAAAAGAAAAAAAAAGAAAAAAAAGATTTTATAAAAATTTAAAAGTGCAGTGCATGTTAGATATCCTCATTGAAACAATAATGACACCAGATGGCATATGCTACTTGAAACTTCCCAAGTTTTAAAATAAATCTTAATCCTATACTTGTTGAAAATAAAAAGTTAATTTTAAATCATTTTGACATATGAACTTAATTTCAGTATTTTGCATTGTTACATATATATTTTGCTGTAGACACCTGGTATACACAGAAATATATCAAAACATTCAGGTGTCCGACATTTGGTCAATAGTGTGTCAACTTTATTTTAATGTCCATATTCAAACATACAGGACAATACATTAAACTCTTAAATCGCCTCAAATAGGCTTACAACGCATTACAGTAATAAAGTATTATAAAGAAAAGTGGCGTTATGCAACTTAATTTTAATCTGACTGCCCTTATTTTAGTACCTGACTGACTGATGTAAAGATACCATAAAAACTTGGGGAAGTTTTTATACCATTTTAATTTTTCAATTTTATCAATAAAAGGACTTAAATGTAATCTATTGTATTGTAGAAAAGTAGTTTTCCACTTTATATTTTTTCCCGCTGTAGACGTTTTAGTTTATTTTAAGGAAATATACTGAAAGTTTGCATTTACAAAATATAATTATATTCTTTAAAATTACAGCATCTTAACAATAATGCTAAAAATTAAAAAAGATCTTGTATTAATTTATTTTTGTATTTGACTGCACTACAAAGTTATGATCATCACAAGAGCAGAACATGTCAAATCAAATTACTTGAATGCTTAAAATTAGAACATGCTGAGTTGACTTCAATAAAGGATAAAATCTATCTTAAAAGTACAAAAAACAACAAACAACAAAACAAGGAGTATTCTCACTATTCTGAGATTCAACACCTCTACTGATATTCTCCACAAAGAAAAAAGTACAAAATAATCATATTTCACACAACTAAAATATCAACTATGGTTTAAGCATTGATTCTGTAAAAGTTCATTTTGTAAAGTTCTAAAACAGTAGCATATTATCTATGTTTTTATGTAATTTCAAATCTTATTTTCATCTTTTTTTTTTATTTATTAATTTTTTTTAACTATATTCTTTGCGAATATCAAATGAATGGTGTAGCAGTTAAAATTTCACTCAGATCTAATTTGTATTAATCTTTTACACCACATTTTTTTTCCAAAGACCTCTTGAACATTTTTTTGATGTTTGGTGTAAAATATAATAGTTATAGAGTTAATGATATAATTATTGAGATTCTTTTTCATGACATGAAATTTTTTTTTATCTCTCTGTTTATTATACTACTGACTTGAAACAAAATTTCCGTGTGTTTTAGCAAAGTCATTATATTATAATGTAATCAAACTTCAAGTCTTTATCAATACAAAACGCTCATTAAACAATTTATAGGTCCCGTTATCTGATATGAAGTCATGTATTCAAGTTGGTGTCAAATCAATTCAGATTACTACACCAGAAACAATGGCTGATAATGCTGTGCCAAATAATCTCCTCCTTTCTTACAATCAGTGCCTTACACAGCAAATTCTGCCCTATAAGTCATTGTGTGGTCAACTTTAAATTATCTTATGATTTTGTATTTCTTCTTTTTATTCACTAATATAGAAAAAATATTTTTATTTTATTTTTATTTTTAATTACTAAAGAAGAAAAGTTGGTAACTATATAACATTACTGTGTAAACAAAAGGTTGATCTTTTTTATTTTCTCCCTCACTTACGTTCGTCCAAAAATTAAACAATTATTTGCTATACTTGACAAGGAAAAAACAAAGACTATATCGGGTTAGAAGGCTGTTTGCTACTTTTCTATCCTTCCAACAGAAAAAACTATTTTTTTAATTTAAGATAATTTTATATATTCACAATCTGAGTGTCTTGTTACCATCATTTATTTCTACATCACTTTTAAATATAACAAGAGAAATAAACAAAATCTTGAAATTCTTTTTATGTTAACAAATCAATATTTCTGTTACTTATGACTCTTATATTACAGTGAGTATGACAGAAAAATAATGAAAATAATAAATTAGTGTATAGATTGACCTGTCATCACTATGTTACACTAGGTATGACTTGCAAATCTTTTGTTAATAACAACAGTAAAATATTGCCGATAATGACCATTATGAACTATCGACATAAATGGCTGAGAGTGAAGTTATAAGATCATCATAAATGCCATTACATGTCAGTAACAGTCATCCTCTAGTATTATCATAACTTTATACTCAGTTTATGATATATCTGTCTGACCATCTGTCTCAACATGTACAACAAACACTTCTCCTACTAATAAAATGATATTCTGTCTGTGGCACACCTTTGTCAATTAACAGTTACTACACTAAATATCTTAAATGGACTTTTCCATCTTTCTATAATTATTGACTAAACCATTCATTAAATTTAGGGAAAATTTCGTAATATGTACTGACTAAATAATAAACAGATCAGATGACACGGGTGTGCTTGCAGATATTGGTCTATACTGGTCGTATGGGTAAAACCTGTAGCAACCAATAGGCTAAGGTTTAATAACAGTAATGTGAAATTTCTATATTTTAAAAAATAAAGATTTGTGAAAATATTATATTTGCAAGAATCATTATATTTAAAAACTTTGAAGTTGACAGTTCCTATTTGTCTTAATCAATTCAAAATAAAACATATAAACAAACCGCATATATACTTTTAACTTCTGTTTATGCAAACTAAATAACTATTATAATTATTTACAAATTATATCACACCAGAAGATATTTATTATTAAATTTGCTGTCTCTACACATTTTTCTTTATAGTTGTTTATTTTATTTAGGTTCATAGCAGGACCATTGTTATTTCTAACATGAAGATTTTATAACCGATTTATTTTACCATCTCTTTCCCTCTCTCTTTTTTTTCATCTAATTAGATTTTTTTTTTCAAATTGAAAAAAGCTTAAGAATTTTCAAAAGATATTGTACAGGATGAACTTTACGTCAGGTCTTGTGAAAATCTTGTAGTAACAATTATTTACAGCTAACTGTTTTGCTATTTCAGAACTGGTCAGAAAAACAGATGTGAGTTTTCATTTGTTTTGTTAACAATGTTGTGTTTTATGAATAGATATAGGACATAGAGAGTTATGAAGGTATCTTGTAGACTAGACATTTTACCCACCTTTCAGCTGAATTATGATGAATCTGTCCCTGTGAGCCACCCACAGCATATATCATATTGTCCATTGCACAAACCCCAACTCTATTTCTAGGCAGTATCATGGGACATCTCTGTACCCAACAGTGTCTATACTGATCATACATATCCACTGAATTTGAATCTAAGTTACCCTCAGAAGAATTGTTTCTACCTCCAACAGCATAGAATGAACCTTTCACTGTACAGCCACACAAGCCACTGCGTGGTGTCGGTAGATCAGGAAGTTTTAACCACTGATTTGTCTGTGGATTATAACATTCAAAATTACTTAAAGACTGTCTTAAATATCCTCCGGCAGAGAAAATCACTAAAGGTGCGCAAGGTTTTCTTGGTTTTTCCGGACAAACCTGATGTAATTTTAGCCCTTGGAAAATTCGAGACAAATATTCTTGGCACTGGGGCATTTTCTTTAAAACAGTACAATGATTCAACTGCTTTTCTAAAAAATTTGGGGATAAAAAGTGGCACCTAACAGCAGACAACATATTTTCTAATTTACACAGTCTTTTTTCTGTGTCATGTTGCACCCATCGTATCACAGCATTGAAAACTTCTGATTCACACTTTACATTTAACTCATCATGTTTAATTAAATTAACTAATTGAGATGATGTTAATTGTAAAAATTCATCACATTTGATGACTTCTGAAAAGTGTTTATAAATATATTCTCGGGCCTTTGTCTCAAGGTCTGTGCAGCCATGTTCGCTAGCGAAGTCCGTTATTCCGATACAGTTACTAGCATCAAGCTGCTGTTCTAAAAATACACTACACGCTTCAACAACGTGATTCATTTGGAACATAGTAGCTGCCGGTAAAAGATAGCACACATTTTGTTCGCTTACTCTAATTTCTGCAGTGTATGCGAAGTCTATTAAAACTGACAGTGTGCACGGATGGATTCCGTGCAGCGGGATTATGCTCATTTCCTCCTCCCTCATGCCGCCGGTAAACATTGCACGGAAGTATGAACTTGATGATGCTAACACTATTTTATGACACACAAATTTTTCTTCTCCAACTAATAACGTTACATCACACAATTTTTCAGATCTACGCAAAGTGTTCATGATTTCTAATGCTTCTTTTGGATGCTTCGTTATAGTAAAGTGCATATTTCCATCAGATTTCTCTGTGGTAACAGGCCGTGGCCTGTAGCAGGATGAGAACCCCACCCTATCATTGATCTTTTTCTCAAATTCCGTCAGCTCTACGTCAGTGTTACCCTGCATTTTGGTCGCTGTAGTTGCTGAACTTTATAAAAATGGATCTAGAAGATAGAATATCTTCATACTCTGTAGGGATTCTGAAATATAAATAAAATGTCATTCAATATAAAACATTTACTACAATATATTATTATATATATTAATAGCCAAAAACATCAACTCTTCTTTGTATAAAAACATTTGAGAATAAGATTTTTAAAGTAAGTTTTGTATTTCTCAGTTTTATTATTTTGCCAAATTTATATTTACTACCTTATATCAAGTATACCCTCATTTTATTCTGAAAATAACTATAATTTACATGAAATTGTCTAAAATCAAATCTTTCTTTCATGAACTATGTTGAACTTTAACTGAAACATGCATATGCATTATTATCCATTACAACCAACCACTTTTTGCCCGGATGTTTCACCATTTTTGTTTTATCAAATATCATACGCCCATTTCTAAACATTCTTAACAAAATTCTATTTGTTTTTTTGGGGTTTGCTTTTTTTTCCATTAATTTGTTTTATAAAATCATTAACAATATGTTTTCATATTTAATATTAAGTAATGACTTTCACAAACTTAGAGCGATTTTTTTTAAATATAATTTTATTTTTTTAGTAAATGTAAAAACACACCTCTGTTATCTTGTTGTAATTATTAATCAAATAATCAATGTTCATATAAAAGACAACATAAGTTCCACCAAAATTCTTAATATTTGGGAACAGAAGTTCATTTCAAATATCCATTTTGTGTATTAAAATCTAAAATTCAAATAAATAATTAATGATTTTTTTTTCATGATGAATAAATTAAAATTTAACTCATGAAAAATTTAAATTTTAATTAAATTAAAATAATTCCTGAAAATGACTTAATATGAAAATAAAGTTATAATCTATTGCAATTAAATACCAACTGTATCTATAATAACAAAACAGATATTTTAAATCCATTAATTATTTAAGTATTAAAGAAAAGATAATATTGTAAAACAACAAATTAATTAATTAATTCTTACCAGTAAACACTAAAATCAGATTTTTAATAAAATCATTAGAATCCATTCATGAGACATATTATCCATTTGTATTTAATTTTTGTATTGTTATTTCTTTTTTATTCACAATTTTTCTATAAACTCCAACAAAATATGTCCAACAAAATATTCATATTATTTAAAATAAACATTTTTTTTTCTTATTTAACTTTTTTTCAATATGAAAAAGTTAATTTCTTATTTTTTTTTAAGTATCCTCTCTTAAACGATGGAAAATAGAATCGCGAAATCGCGACTAGTATTTTAAGATTTCATAATCCAATACAATGTGTACAGCATGAACTTCTACTTGATAATACCGAAGTAAACCCTGTCTACCAATCAGCTACAATACAGCCATACCAAAATATTGGAGCTCTTTCATGTGTGGCAAAAATTATATACAGGTGTGTCATTCAATATAGCTTATAGAAAACCGGGTCATATAAAAACAACTATAAGATATTGGTAGTTGACTGGTATCAGATATTGGTAGTTGACTGCTGCTTTTGTGTATAATGATTTGCAGTTTTTCGGCCTTCCTTGAAACTGAAACACAATATATTGATGATTCAGATTTCATGGGTTTTTCTTTTTAAGTTTACTTTTTATCAACATTAGATAAAAATAAGTCAATACAGCATATGAGCAAATGATGTTCATTTCTTGTTTTCCTTGTTTTTACACTTAAATATATACAAGTTATTAATTATTATGAATTATTAATAATTAATAAAATTGATCATATAATAATTTAACTCAAAAACACAATATTTTATTCCATCATTTCATTTAAAACTTTTCTCAAAGCATCTTATATTAAATAAACAAGATTATATTCAAGTATATAACATTTAAAGTTATCTAATTCATTAACATTTGATTGACTTTAATGCCATCAATTTATTTTTGTACTTCAACTTTCCAAGACTTCTAACTATAAATAAACAGGAAAAACGTCTATATAATGATTGTCAGTAAATAAACAGTTTGTATATTGTCTGTATACATTGACTCATTAAAGTTAGCAAGGTTTAAGAAAAAAATGCTTAGATTATCTCAATTTGAATAAGCACACATAAGAACATCACAAAAATCTTTTTTTTACACACTTATTAAATTATTTAAAGGAAACACTGATTAGCACTGCTAGTAAAGCCTCATTCTAGTAAAAGTTTGTTTCTAAAATCAGTGGGTAAATGTTTCATTAAGATTGTAACTCCATCCCTGCCACCACTAAATTTGAAATATAGCTTTATCTGCCCTCTTTGTATAAATTATATAAAGTATCTTTACAACATAAAATATCATGTTTTATGGCATTTGAGGTAATATTTCTGGAGACTATGAAATACAAAGCAATGTCATTAAAATTGCATTTTATACTTTTAACATATTCAACATGAACTTGTATACAAACAAAACTATTAGTTACTCCAGTATCACCTCTTTTTTACAGTAAATTTATAACATATTGTCGGTGAGATACATGTATAAGACTGCAAAAATTTTCATAAAACATATGACAAATTATACAGTTCAAGACTTCTGAAAAAGCATAGAAATGTATTTTGAACATTGAAAATCTCAATAATATATAATAATAATAATTTTACAGTGAGTATAATGGCAGATCAAGAAATAACAGGATTACAGAAAATTTAAACACAGATGAAACAAATTTTTAGGAAGTTCTGTACTTGCTTCGTCAATGAAGATTTTTTAAACACAGAAAAGTCCCTTAAATTTATTTCAGCCGAAACACGCAATAACCTGGTTTCAATTTAAAATTTACATGACCAAATCTAGATCAAATGTCACAAAAAGAGAGCAATATCATGTCTAAACTTCATAAAACATTTATACCTAACCATGCAGCAACAGGAATGACTCAATCCTTTTTTGGAAAAGAAGAAAAATACTTGAGGAAGATAAAGTTGTAGTTAAATATAGAACAGGAGCTGAGAGAGTATATTCACATATCCTTGAGGTAATTCGTTTTGGCTAACATGAAAAAATTACCCTGATTAAATTCACAGTATAAAATAAACTTTGACAGAGAATTCTCGTATTGTATTTACTAATTTGAATATAAGTCACATAAACATGAATATCTGTTTCAGACAATAGAAGAATATAATGTAATATAAACTGTAATCTAGGCCGTATTTTGTAGATATATAATTATGTGAAATGAAACATTATAAAGAATGAATACCATCTATGGTATCTTAAATAAAAAGAATCATTTTAAATCTTTATCCGGTGAAATTTTTTTGTAAACATTCAAGATTTCTATGTTTTATAACATCGCTAATAGTATAGTCAGGTCAGACTGTAGGGATTGTGCAGGCTCGGTTTGTACTCCATTGTTGGTGACTCAATTTTACTAAGTCAATATTGTCTATATCAACTGATACATGGTAATTGAACACTCACCTCTGAAACTATATTATTAAAATTACTACATAAGGCTAGAGATGGCTTCAAAAATTCAGTAACAAACAATTGTACAGACAACGTAGTAAGGTCATATAACTGTACAGTTTGATTAGAATTGGTAATATTGTCACAAAATTAACACTTGGGTTTTAAACTTTTTAATACAGATATAGTGAATTATAAAAAGTTAGGAAGTTTCTTTTTTTAAAACAAGACCTGTATCAATGTATTAGCATACATTACAAGGCACTATTCCAACATGTTCATGTAAAATCTTTGTAGGGGAGCATTAAATTGTAAAGTAATTATGTATTCTATTGTTTATCATTAGAGATAGGTTATATCAAATAATGTCAAATAGATTTTGTAGCATTCAATGAGACATTTAAATTAATTAAATACTAACATATCAAATAATGATACTATCTTTATACATGTTCATAATGACATATTCGAGTAATAGAACATTTAATTACACATTTCTTAATTTATGATCTAAAATCTTCACAATTCATCTTGCCTATAATGGTCAATCCTAAAAAATTGTTAGCCATGTTACAAAATTTGTATTTTCAATAAAAAAAAAATACTAGAAATTTGGCAAATTTTGCAATCTGCATGCCTGCAAGATAAAGGTACTGTATCAAACAGCTTCTACTGACCCTAGGCTCATTGAAATATCATGTCATAGATATTAGGGATGGAGAATGTTGAGGCCAGCAAATTATATAATAATAAATTATATAAGCCGCGTCACGACAAAACCAACATAGTGGGTTTGCGTCCAGCATGGATCCAGACCAGCCTGCGCATACGAGCAGTCCAATCAGGATCCATGCTGTTCGCTTACAAACCCTATTACAAGTAGAGAAACTGATAGCGAACAGCATGGATCCTGATCAGACTGCGCGGACGCGCAGGCTGGTCTGGATCCATGCTGGTCGCAAACCCATTATGTTGGTTTTGTCGTGACACGGCTCATATATACTTATTGATGGCTCAAATCATCTCACTATCCTGTATATTGAAGGTGAGTTTATTCAGTACAGTCACAGACACTAAACTAATCTCAGTATCAACTTACACACACACAGTACCAACAGGTAAGTAAGTGGGAGATGACTAAGCAAAAATCTTGAAGGAATAATCAATAAAAGGAGAGAATAGTTAACTGAAAAATAATGTAGCACATCTCTAAGAACCATAAATAATATATCATTTATATACTCTTAATAACATGCCTTACCTCTGACATTATATGCAAGACATCCATGTCATCTTTCTTTTTATATAATTCATAGATATGTTTAAAAAAAACATGTGATGTATATGTATAAGGAATTCTTTTTCAAGCTGATAAGTTGGTTATCAGTCCACCATTAAAACAAGAAATTTCTTGTTCACAAAATCTTTTAATCTTTCTTTAATAAAGGATGTCCTCAAGGTGAAATATGTTCGAAATTATCTCATTTAAGAGAAAGAAAAATAGATCAATGTAATCAGTGTCTTTAAATAATACAAAAACTGACTGCTTTTTGCTAATTTCTTAAATTGCGCTTATCAAATACAAAAGAGTCATGGAGACTTCTTTTTCATTTTCAAGCAACATTATAATTATGCAAATTTTGGCCACTCCTCTTGCAGCATACAATTTTAAAGACAACAATTACTAAGCATGGAAATTGGAGCACAAGAGAAGTGCTGGTACATTATAGCCACCTGCAGTCCATAACCAGGTCATGCTTGAGCCGTTATCCTTCTAAAGTGTCCTTTCTGTATATTGTGACTTTGAAGATAACAGAAATACAAGCAGCCACCTTGTTTTTAAGATGGATTAAAAATTTGGCCAAATGGAAAGTTTGTAAGTTTCAGTGATCTTGGCCCAGTCAATATGAAACTCCAGCCATTGGAGGTAGTTATACATGTTATACTACAAATATGTAAGTATCAGTCTATTAATGAAGCAGTTCCATGTAAAGGTAAGTGTTATTTAGATAACACAAGTACATGTATATTTATGCAGTGTTACTAATTTATATTAACCATTTTTATATGCAGATGAATGAGATGAATGTATTATTAAATCAACTATCTTTAGTTTTTTTCAGCAACAGGTAACTAGTAACAATAAAACTTGGCAAATATCTTAATTGTGACATTGTTATATGGAAAATTACAAATTAACGTCTTCAAGGCATGCAGAATTGTGTCTATTGTTGTCTTCTAAGTTGGAAAAATGTCAAACTAATTTTACAACTTTTCGTTCAAATGTATAGGCTCATTTGCCAAAAAAATGTATACATCAAAACTGTTTCAATAATATTTTATCAAGGACTTATAGTAATAACTTTAACACACAAAAAAAACATTTGTTCAAAAATATTAGCAAAGTCTTGTAAGAATCCTGAAAATTTAATTTCTATTTGAATATTTTAATCTATCAAAATAACAGTCTTTATTTAAGAACTTTATCAATCTGAAAACGGTATTGTATCTGATAAACATTGCTATCATTTAGATTCACTGATAAAAGTATAATTGCTAGCAGTTATACCAGGTAAAATATTCTCAAACAAAGTGATAACAACACCAAGTGATCTGTAAATAAGTTTGATTATGACGATAATGAACGAGAGAAAAAACTGCAGAGTCATTCAATGTCCAATACTAACGACGTCATTGACTACTCCAAAGCCAGGTAAATAAATCTAGCTCTGTAAACCATAGATCAATAATACAGTAAATAATTATTGTCTTCATACTGGAATATGAAATCACTGTTTTTATGTGGGTGAGAGAGAATAATAGCTGTTAATATATAACTGAAACATTTCTAAAGGATAGGTATATGATCAGAGAGTATTAATACTGAAGTACAAGTAAATCAAAACCATTACCTAAATGGTCTGGAAAATTCCATCTTATACAATCTATTACACATGTATTAATATTTTAATGTTTTCATTTTTTTAATTCTTTAAAGTTTTACCGCCAGCTGAATTTTTTTTTCTCCAAACATGTACCCTAGTAGTGTCAGAAAGGTCATTATTTAATGTCTATAAGCACACAACTGTCTCTGCTAGTTTCCTGTAATGATATTAACTTTACACATATAAGAATGCATTTATATTCTAAATTGAAAATTCTTACAAAATAATTCTTAATAAAACATAAGAATTTCACAAACTACTGTTTTATTATCACATTTCTCTGCAGTTACAATATTCATCCATCATAACTTTAAGTCAAATGATATTCTAGCAAAACTTTTCTCCTCATAGGTTTTTTTCCACACAAAAAAAAACAACAAACTTACATTTCTGCACTCTATACCTTCTAACAAAAACACTATTTCATTGTTTTTATCATTAATTACATAAAAACAGCTGTTTATAAACAAGTAATATGTGTTTTCAAATGTCCAGGTGCATTAATAAACTCCCATCCATCATGTAATAACGCCAGTTTTAATTGATTTATTACCTAACAGTTTAAATGCATTCTGCCCACCATATTCATCTGTCCTTTCTACCACTACCTTTAAACTTACAACAGCTATTAACTAAATACTTCTACAATAATCTGTTTGATGTTTTTAAACTACATGGCAATCATACTTACAAAACTTATACTTGATGATGTTTTAGTCTGAATTTAGATTGACATTTAAGGATAATGTCTGTTGCTTAGATCAAACATGAATAATCTTACTAATCCAGGTGAAAATGATATATCACATTATTTCATCATAGTCTATCCACAACCTCTATTGAAACATGCCAAAAATTACATTGGGAAAACTTAAAAAAAAATAGCAACCATTTTTTTCAGTAAGCCATTGATAAACTTTTTTTTATTCTTTGCATTATATTGTCTGTCAAAACTGAACTTGTCTTTTATTTACATGTATTGTCATGTATCAATATACATGTATATCCAACAACCTTATCTCAATCCCCAAACAGAGAGGACACGATCTTCTTAAAAAAAAAGTTAACATTAGTAATTTTTTTTAACCAAATAAAAGTTATCCACTTACCGTGTAGAAAGTTCACACTTTATATGACCGAGTTATAACAAAGCTGGTATTGTTTCATAATCTTGTTTCATTTTAACACGTCAAATATTAAATACAACATCCTAGTAATTCCTCCGCCACTATTTCATTGATGAAATACAAGCTCAAGCGTTAAATGCAATAAAAAATGAATGAATGGGTTACATGTAACAAACACTTTCTGCTAGCACACATTGGCTGCTTGCATGTTAAACTGATTTCAAACACCTTAAACTGTTCAGAATTATTTAAATGAGCCATACAAGGAAAATTCATTCTGAATAAGAATTGGTATGCAAATCTTATGAAGTGTTATTTATCAATAACCTAGATTGAGATAAACGCAAAGACATTCCTTATTATCTATCGGTAATGTTTACCTAACTGCATGAATACGCGGATATCTTGCGCATCAATAGTGCAGTGAACGTGAGTTCGTCGGTTGAAAGTAAACATTACCTCGGATTTAAATTTAAAACATTGGTGTAAGGACATTTTAAGATATGACAGGTAGGTATTTTATAAAGGTAAGTACTTGGTAGAGCAAGCATTTACGCCCTATTGAGATTTAACATATTCACTACTACCACTGAAACAAATTTAAACCCTAATTACTTTTCATTATTGATTTGTTAAGTTGAAGGTCAAGGTCGCATTTGCTTCACGTTCGCTATGACACAAGCAGAATTGATATTAAAATTGAACAATGATTAATGTAATAGCTGATAAAACAGACAGGTGAGGGGGAATGATACAGCTTTTTGTAATCATCACGGGCACAGCTTGGCTCAATTGGCTCACCATAAAGGGTACAGGGCAACTAACTCAAGACTTAACAATTTTATCATGACTTTACTGGCTTTATAAATTTAGAAAATTAAACAGTTTCCAGACACATTTTTTACATTATAACTTTAAGGTCTATTGGACTGATGGTTTAAATCATTAATGAAAAATATTATAAACAACATAATTATAATTAATCTATACCAATTAATTAAAAGTACACTGATTAAACTATGACAATTTTTGTACTGCATTTAGGGTTTGACAATTGTATTGTTGTCTCTTACATTGAACATTTATTTGACAGCACACTCCACTTTTCTCCGTGCCGGATAGTATGACAAAAAAAAAGAGTAGAAAAGGGGCATATCTTTGCAAAAGTACTTGGCAATATTACCTGCATTTCTGGTAATCACCTACCTTAAGTTTGTGCTAATTATCTGTGATGGTTTTTTGAGAAAGTAAGGAAATCATTCTTAGAAAACAAGGTGTCATAACAAAAATTTGCCCCAAAAGGGTTAAAAGTCTATAAACATATGTGTTATTAAAAACATGCAGAGTGAGGTGTGCCTAGTGGTTAAGGTGTTGGCCTCTAAATCCAGGGTAATTGAACATAGTAATTTAGGACCGAACTCATGTTGCAACATTACATGAAATCCCTCATATAACAAAGCTGATGAGATGGAAGCAGAAATAAATTATGTTTAAACTCACAATGATCTAACACGAATGGCAATTAAGTTAACCTTTTACCCCATGAGCATATTGTGAAAAATGGCCATTTTCATTGAAAAGCCTCCTGTTACAAGTTCAAACTGCTATGAAACTATGAAAAATGCTTCAATACTGATGAAACTTGGCACAAATGTTGACTGGACCATAGCCACTGTAACAGCATGCTCAATCATAAATTTCCTGTTACCATGGCAACGGGGGGACGTCTCAAAATTGCCAAAAATCACTATTTTGCATTGTTTTTTCCATCAAAACGGATTTCAAAGTGCTGCAACTTCTCAATGAATTGAGATAGAGTAATAGGCTTTTCAGCATCGGTTACTAGTTACCCTAAGATCGACCTGAGGCCACTTTTAGCCTGTCACATGTCCAAAATTTTCTTGTAGATGAGGGGGACTACAGCCCCACTTCAATCCCCCCCCCCCCCCCCCAGAAAAAGGGGTCATTTTTTGTTTTTGGGGCCTAAATATGTCATTTTTTCACTGTTTCAGGTCTCAAAAGAGGGGGGGGGGGTGCAAAAAGCCCTCAAAACACGTTTATATGAGGTAAAAGGTTAAACAGGTTGTAGAAAAAGGCTTTATGCAATGATGTTCATAATTATGATGCCAAATTATTCATTCAATCATTTACTTATTAAGAAAACTATATATAATTATCAACCCTTTCTGCCAATGATTTGATTTGAGGAACATTACCCATAAGATACATGTATGAAACTTGAAGATACTGATTTAACCTAGTCAAAAGCACTTTGTCAAAAAATACAGAAATTTAATTATTCTGATAGTAATTAAAAAGAGTAGAATTTTTATGGAAAAAAAAATGGTACACTTTGCACAATAATGAATTCAAATATTTATACAGTTGTAATCTTCTCTGTAGTGTAATATTTTACAAGTATTATAACACAAAACAAACGAAAGTGATCAAATTTTCTGTCAACCCAAAATCATGTTTTCAGTACAAAGGCATTCTGCAAGTGTCCAGTTAAATAAATACTTAATTAACGTAAAACATAATTCAAATAAATCAATTGTACCACAATACAATAATAATAATTGCTACAATAATATACAACATAGCAAAATAAAATTATGATGTATATTAAATTAAGCGAAATAAGAAAATAAAAACCTTTAAAATTCTTGATTATCAGTTCCTTAAATCCACTGTTTTTTGCCTCTCTAGTGAATATATTATAATGATATAACAGTATAAGTTAGTACTAGCAGTGATATAAACACTGATATGACTCTGATGTACTACCACTATAATGTTATCATATCTAATAAACTGTCAATGAATGTTGGACCAAGACAGCTCTCCCATTACCTTCATACATCAATGAACAAGCTCTACTGTTCCTACCATACTGTATCATTAAATTTAAATAACCCCATCTCTATATATCTTTGATCCAGGCACCATATTAAGAAAGTTCTGTTTACTGTTAAATGACTTCACAACCCAACATGACACAGAAAAAATACCTACTGCAGCCTGTGTCACGTTTACATGATTATAAGCAAAATCACCAAAAATCTATACACCTATACACTTTACCTTTCTTTTCATCTTATACGTTAAGTACGTCATACAGCTACATTCACAGTCGCAAGTCCTCTCAACTGAAAATAACACAGAATGATTGAATAAAACACTTATTGAATAAAAACAATTCGACAAATCAGGACATTAATAATCTAATTAGTACATTGTTTACTCTACATAACATATATTCATCATAAACTTTAACCTCCGTCATAAGTTATGTCACGGTTTAAACACAGTATTCATTCATAAAAGTTTTAGTCAATATATGACATTGCTGAATGACTTAGCAAAATGTATGGGAGGTATATATTTGCATAAACTACCTCCTGACCACAGGTATATTATATCTCACGTATATTTGCACAAATGTGGTGTTAAAGTGATATAAAAAGTTAAAAGAGGTTAAAATGCAAATTAAATGTAGTCTATTAACACATTTAAATGACAAAAAAAATGCATTTTGTTTTGAATAAAGGTTTAAATGGTTTGTTTAATTGCATGCATTAATATCAAGTCTTAAGCTGGTTTTAAAGTTAAAGCTTAAAGTTAAAAGAAAAACAAATTCTTGTGAAGAATAATGTTTTTGACATTCAACCAGTAAAATATTTTAAATACAATACGACTAAACACATTTTTTTGCAATTAATAACAAACAACAATAAGGACTAGCCTATGAATGGAATGTATGATTTTACATAACATGGTGTTATTTCATTATAAAGAGATCTTATACATTGTATAGTGAATATGATAGCCCCTTAGCCATCACCACCTTGGTCTGCACTTCTAAACGCTGAATGTTGAATAGCGAATATGATAACCCCTAAGCCATCACCACCTTGGTCTGCGCTGGTGGTACAGAGATCTAAACTCTGAATGTTGAATAGCGAATATGATAACCCCTAAGCCATCACCACCTTGGTCAGCACTGGTGGCATAGAGATCTAAACTCTGAATGTTGAATAGCGAATATGATAACCCCTAAGCCATCACCACCTTGGTCAGCACTGGTGGCATAGAGATCTAAACTCTGAATGTTGAATAGCGAATATGATAACCCCTAAGCCATCACCACCTTGGTGGTATGGGTAGATTGACAGAAAATCTCTTAACCCTTAACCCATTGCATCGTGTGCCACCAGTGTGGAGTCAGGCCAGCCTCCACATGAGTGCACTGTGGAGCCAGGCCAGCATCCAAATGAGGGCAGAGTGCAGCCAGACCAGCCTCCACATGAGGGCAGTGTAGAGCCAGGCCAGCCTCCACATCTGTGAAGTGTGGAGCCAGGCCAGCCTCCACATGAGGGCAGTGTGGAGCCAGGCCAGCCACCACATGACTGCAGTGTGGAGCCAGGCCAGGCTCCACATAAGGACAGTGTGGAGCCAGACCAGCCTCGCCAGAGGGCAGTGTGGATCCAGGCCAGTCTCCACATGAGGGCAGTGTGGAGCCAGGCCAGCCTCCACATGAGGACAGTGTGGAGTCTGAACCAGCTCTCTACACTGTTGGTGGGTCAATATTTATATTTTGATATTGAAATGACTTAAATCATCAAATGGTCTATACAGGACAAATCTATTACACAAAATCAGGAGATCAAGGGTTATTATATGTCTGTATATAGATTAAGTGGAGATTAACAAGTGATGTAAGGTGACGGCATAATGAATGAAATACTTCAAACAGATACATACTTTACACTGTCCTTAAAGAATGTAATATTACATAGTGCAACTTAATAAAGGTGATACAAACTTACTGACATAATAATTCAGATTTTTAAGGCATCTTCACAAGAGATATTCTCTGTAATATTTTCATCAGTACCAAAGATCATAAAGTTTATCTGCCCACCTGTTTACCTTAAATAACTTTTTCATTACAGTACAGTATCAGCTTACCACAGAAAGAAATTCATTGCTCCCATGCTGTAGTATTACAACAATATAATATCTATAAAATATACTTGTCAAAACTAATGCAAATACTAAAAATATATATGAAGTTGCTGTGTGGGTTTTACTAAAGAAAAACCTTTCTTTATATGTATTAAAATATTTGTTACCTTCATTTCTTATTACTTAGTGACAATTTATATAAAAGCAACATTTTTGCCAGGTCTGATGTCAACTTAATCTATAGTATAGAGATTTATGATGTCTTCACTTACAAATATTTTTCTTCCATCCATCCATTGTTTTCTATCAGGTATTCAAAGAACGAGCAGTATAGAGATACTATACTGGTGACAATCACATTTGTCTATTTTAACATTGCCATTCATTTCCTAAAAATATTCAATTCTGAGCTAGCCATTGGCTAAACCAATAGATTATAGAAAAAACAAATCTAGAAAATTCAACAGCAATTTACCTGTCTCTAAATAAGATCATAAAGTAAATGTTATGCCCAGTGTTATCCAGTAATATCACAGTATCTGTAAAATCCTACCAACCTGTATAGTCTAATGAATGCCACAACATATATTCATCAAATCCACACTAAAACACAACAATTACTGGTCAAAAGTCACAACAAAATATACAATTATTATAGGTAGACCTACCATACATCTCAATAACAGAATATTGCTTGAGGCCGCAATACACTGGTCAGCCACTATGATCAAAATCTCGATATTGACTGTTGACGGATATAAAGAAATCAGAGATGTTGACTGTATGTTACTTTTCACTTATTTATCACAACCATCACACAAACCAATGACAGAATAAGCTGAGGTCAACTGTGTTTCAATATCCAAAAATTGTTCAACCTGAAAATAGAAAAATATCACTTAGAAATGTTTAATGACCCTG